TTGGATAGGTGGTAGATCTGATCTAGTAGTAATTCGGGCTCCAAATTCTTCTCCAAACTTCAATAATCACCAATATATCCGTAAGGTTTTAATACCTTAAGTAAAGCCTAATATAAAACCAGGTAAGTAATATATATATTTTTATATCTAAGAATTAATCTAGCACACCTAATTAAACAGTTATAAATCCCAAATTCGGATATATTATAGATATAACTAACTACTATCTAGGCTGGAAGTTTCAGCAGGATAACTTCAGAATGCATACTACTGAAAACGTTTTCAGCTGGTTTAAAAGAAATTCAATTGAAGTCTTCCCTCATCCACCTTACAGTCCAGATCTTAATCCAATAGAAAATGTGTGGAGTTTACTTAAAAACCATTTATCTAAAAGATCTAGATGCTTTTTAGGCTTAGGTAATAACCAGAAGAGTATAGCGGCTTTTACTAGGGCTATTTTTGAAGAGTGGCAAGCTATTCCACAACAGGATATAGATAATTGTATTTTATCTCTACCTAGGCGTTGGCAAGCTGCAGTAGAAGCTAAGGGCTGGTACACGAAATATTAGCTTCTATTCTTAGCGAGAAATAAATATACTCTAAAAAATCAGACTCTTCTATATATCACGTGATCTAACTAGTAAACGTATACTATAACAGTCAGAGCTTGGATATTAAAGATAGATCTATAATATATATTAGACTTAGACCTTTTTATATAAGAACAATAGAGTAATCTAGATATTTAGTTTGGATTTATTCAAGCTTCTAGTTTGGGGATTTTTGTTCGCTCAGGGCTGCTGACTAAGCAGATAATGGGTCCACTATGCCAAGCTAGGAGATCTTGGCTTTCTAAATCTGCAATCCGTTTATTTTTAGCTATTTTTCCCAGCTATATATTAAAGTTTTAAAATAACAACTTTTTGAGTGACGTTTTTTTCGTGTCACCCCTCTGTAGAATTAGAGGATATAGAGGATAGCAATACGTCTAAAGAATAATATCTTATTCTACTTAACAAAAAATATTGTAGTAGTGTTGCGCAATACTATTACAAAGATGTAATAGTTTGGGGAGGTGGCCCACATACTGGGGTGGCCCGCTTACTGGTGAAACACGTTATTCCGGACTACTACTACTACTACTACTACCCATTACCATGCTGCACCCAGGCATAGATATATCCAGCGACATATTTTCTACAGCCCTCTAGCCAAGCGCGCCGCTTTCTTCAGCCCCGTCCCGGGTCTCACATCGCCGACCCACATCTTCTCCGCATCGCCATCAATGCCCTGCCGCGCCCTTTCAAACGCCTCTTCGATCTTCCCTCTCAGCCCGCCCTCCTCATCGACGCCGCTCTCTTTCCCCCACAGCTCGAGCGCACGCTCGAAATCGCCGCACGCAAATATGTTTTCGCCCAGCGCCATGTGCACGGTGCCCAGCGCATACCATGTTTGCGCCTTTTCGCGCTCGCTGAAAAACGTCGGCTTGTTGCTGGGAATCAGCTCGACGGGCAGCGAGTGGAACCACGGATTGGATGTGGGCGACGGCGAATCCGTGACGAGACTCAGGGCTTTTGACACCGAGGCCTCGGCTAGAAGCAGGTCGCGCGCTGCTTCTCTGATTTCCTTTGTTGGGGGCGCCGCACCACGCATCCACTGCTTGTTGGCTGTCAGGCTGCGCAGCGGAATCGACAGCGAGATACCCAGGCCGAGCTCTGTTCTCCAGCGGAGCCGCTGGATGGCGCGGGCAAAGGCGTCGCCGTCCTGCGAATGCAGCGTCTCGGCATGGGTCAGGTAGCCGTATGTGAGTGCGATGATGACGGCGTTTGCGTACTCATTGGACAGTGCATACTGCTCTTTTTCCCGCGCCTCGTCGGCCAAATCGCCCAGCTCGCTGGCCACAGCCAGGTAGCTGTCAGCAGAGAATCTGGGCTCCGTCATCATGCGCTGCAGGCCCTCTGCATACCGCGGCAGCAGATGCCTGGTGTCGATAGTCACGCCGCCGAGGTTACTCAGCACGCGGAACAGCTCGAGCAGATCGCCTTGCAGCCGCGAGATAGGGAACGAATACGTATTCACGAGCGTCAGGAACAGCGTGTGCATGGGCGCCCAGGTAGCCGTCGCGCGGCTCGCCTGGTCGAGGAAGTTGATGAGTCGCGGGAGGTACTGTGCGGGAAACATGACAGCCGCGCGTTTCTGCGCCGAGTTCTTTTCCACCAGCACGACTTCAAGCGCGTGCTGCGTGCTCTTTTCCACCGCCGCAGGCGTGGCCGTCGAGAAGAGCAGCCCGGAGTCTTCCAGCAGCGTCTTTGCGTGCCGCGCATCCGCCGTGTACACATCCAGCCGTACCCAGAGGTTTTTCTCGTAAAAGTACGCCAGCGCCTCGCGGCCCACTGCCTTGCTGACGTAGAACAGGCTCGTGGCGACGGGGAACGGCTTGCGGGACGCGGAGAAAGTGAGGATGCCGTCGTGGATTTTGTGCGTGTAGGAGACGTTTGGCTCGCCGAGGTTGACGGCTTCCGTGTCGAGACAGTGTCTGTAGATGTTGTTGCGGACTGACGCGGGGAGGTCAGTGAGGCCCAGAGGCCGCTTTGGCGCCGGAGTGCTTTCCTGCTGCGAGAGGGAAGCGGCTTTCATTTTCGCCTCGAGACTGCTTGCTGTCGCGTCCATGGAGTCGCGTTTGGCGGTTGTTGAGCTCGCCATGGTGCTGTTCTGATGGTACCGATTGCAAGTGGTCAGTTATCAACATACAAACCGCAATTGACGCCAGACGGGCACTGAACAGCCAGATGGAAGCTTACCGAATGCTTCTGACTTTGCTAATCTATTGCTACTATGTTTCAACGTGACAGGGTTGTTTCTGGGGGCTCCCGTCAAGTTCAAGCAGTGATGCGATTCAAACGACAACGGTCTCCAATGTTCAGCCAGACTTGGACCGCAATTGGAAAAAAAGAGAAGAGGCAAAACAATACGTCTTCTCATCTCCTCAGCAGCGAGCTTCCCGTGGCGGGGTTTTAAAGCTCCGGTTAAGCCACAGAGGGGGGTTTCCCAGCCAAAGTGCGGGGGAAGCAAGGGTGCTTGTGGGGAAGTGCTAGCAGACATGCGTGCGGATCCGGAGATTCCGGCTCACCATAGGCTTGCACACTGTAAACAAATACACGGTCGTTTAGGTGCATGCATCCGCAAGCTGGTTGTCGGTGGTGCTACATGTCAAGTGGTGCGGGGAAGCTCACGTTTCCGTCCAATCGGTGCCAGCAAGACTTCCGCATGGCAGAGAGCCTCATTACCATTCAAACTCTATCGTGTCTGCTATACTATTACTCAAGTCTACTCCGCGTAAGCTGTAAAAGCCTTGAGCTGCTTGTTGGCGTTGAACTCTAGCTCTACACCAGGAGCGATGAAGAAGATGTAGCCCGCGCTCAGCTTGTATTCCTTGCCGTTGCCCTTCATGGTTCCCTCGCCCTCTGTTACGATCATGACACTAGGCCCACCCAGCGACCCGATTGTCTCGGAATCTCCGGCACCCATGCTTGTTGCCAGCATATTGAACTCGCTTAGTGGAGGTGCATAGAGCTGCGTCTTGCCATTCTTGCTCCGGTCAAACGACGCTGCTGGTAGAATGGCCTCCTTTGCATCATGAGGTGCAAATGTGAGGACCGAACAGAACATTTCGACATTATCGCGGTCAGCACGGGGACAGAAACCAGTGTTCAGCACGTTATTCGACCGGGCCATGCACTCGATAATATCGCCAGACAGATAAGCGTGGATGCCATCCGCAGGAATGTAGATGCTGTCACCAGCCTGGAGCTTCAGGTAGTTCATCGTGATGAGCGCAACGAGCGTTCCGTTGTCGGCCTTGTCGTACTGCTCTGCCAGACGAGGAATCATGTCGGGAATGTAGCTGGACTCGCCGAATTGCTCTTTGGGTATCTTCATCAGGGCATCGTTCGTCTTGCGCACAGCCTCTTCAGAGGCCATGAGCATTGCCTTGACAACATGCTTGAGCTGCTGGTCATCAAATTCGGTCTTCTGGACCTCAGGCATGAAGCCCTCGAGCGGCGGTAGTTTCATCAAGCGTGCAATCTCTGCGAGGGGCTTGAAACCACAGAAGGCCTCGAATTCGCCAAGAGCCAGCGCAATCTCGGGCTTGTGGTTTGGGTCTGTGAACTGGCTTGGATTCTCTGCATGCAGCTTCGAGGCTAGGTCCTTGTTCTAAAAGCTATTAGCAAATGGAAGAAATCGGCACGGTGACCGACGTACAGGGTGTAGCTGCAGAGGAAGAGCCTTTGCTATTGACAGGACCTTTGGAAGGTATGGCAGCTTGGTGTGGTTGAACTTGTCGACGACAGCCTTTCCAACCAGTTCATCAGGATGCTTATCAATAACACTCTGGAGGTCCTCGCCAGTCTCCAAGACGTAGGAGGGCAATTCGGGATATGTGCCCATCCACCTATTATGTTAGGATCTAAAGCTGAACTTGACTAGGAGACGTACATTTCAGCATAGGGAGTATTCTCGTCGATCTTGAAGTTGGTGCCTGGCGTCTTCTCGCACAGAGTCGCGGCGAGCGACTTTGAGCCCTGCTTCCCCCATGGGTACTGGTTGCAGTCGCACCTCAATTGGATTACCTTTTCGACCATGATTGCGCTCGGAGTGGGTTAGTTGAAGAAGACAGAGGACGTATTTGGAAGGTTGTGAGTAGGTTGTTGGCAAGGTTCCAGTCTTTGCTCATTGTCGAAAGGGTATATTTCTTCACTGTGACAGGCACTCGACGTCATAGCGGGTAACGCAGCAGTAGATGCAAAGCGCAGGCTGTATTAGCAAGCAATCGTCACATAGCGTCTGGTAGAAAACACGGCTTGGCGGTAAGGCCGGGTTTCCGTAGGAGTGGCAGATGTCACTGCGCCGTGAGATTAGCATGGTTCGACATGAGATTGGGTGCACCAGTGATCGCGGCGAAATCTCGTGATGACTTCGGGCAGCCTCAGCTGGCTTACGGGCCGTTGGCTGGCTGATACTCGGGCCAGCAGCCGTCGACAGCGGACGCCTTTTCTTGCTGTCTTTGGCTCATGTGAACGGCCGTCGGCGGTCTCTTGGCTGGGCGTGGTCGACGGGCGCCTAAAGCGGTGCGGCGGCGTGAAGCAACGTGGGCAAAGTCGCACGCCGTGCAAGGGTGGCGTCGAGCAGCAGGATGCGGGCGACAAGGGCACGCGGGCGGTCGAGAAGTAGACCTACCGGCATGTTGTATACAGCGGAGCCATGGCGTTCGCAACGCCACGTCTGCGTCTGCGCGAGTCTCTGGCCGGTCTCGAATGCGGCCAGGGAGAATTGCGGGCGCTAGGCCAACATGCCTCCTGCCAAGCCTCTCTCGCAGCGCATCTTCCCATGTCCGTCGCGTGTACTTGGGCACATCCCGTCTCTCGCTGCCACTGCGCCCGCTCCCACCGCCGATCTCCCTCGATGCATTGAGCCCATTCTTTCACCCCCCCGACTCGACAGCAATGTGTCTGTAGCGACCAGCGCCTCACACCCACTTCCAGCCCACCATCCCCCCACGACGCCCCCCTTTCGTCTCGTCCACGCACCCGCCCATTCGCCCACAGCCACCACGGCCGCGATCCACGATGCATTTTGCCATGCCGCCCCGAAAGACGTCGCGCCCGCCGCCCTATGCCCCCAGGAGCCAGAGCGGCGCAATTGCGATTCCGCCCGCGCTGAAGAATCTGCTCCGGAGCAAGGTCGGGCGCTTGCTGGCCGGGGGCATTCTGGCCGTCATTGTGCTGTTCTGGATGCTGAGTGGCGGCGGCAGCGACACCAAGAAACCGGCGATGAAGGTGGGCGGCTGGACAGCGGCCCCCATTTCCAAGCCCCGCATAGGGTCTGGCCCGCCCGTCGTGCTCGTCACGGTTATAGATCCCAAGCAGGATCCCACGTGGACGGCAAAGGTGAAGAACAACAGAGACGAGTACGCTAAGCGACACGGTACGTCTCGCCAAATCCCGGCGACCAGGCGCAGACGCTGGGCACATGTTGACACGCACTAGGCTATCTGACCTTCTTCCCAACCAACGACCAGTACCCCATCCCCAACTCTCCACTGACCTGGGCCCGCGTACCCGCCATGCGCCATGCCATGACACTGTACCCCTCGTCCATGTTCTTCTGGTACCTGGACCACACGTCGTTGATCATGAACATGGCTGTCCCCATTCACACGGCCCTCCTCACGCCTGCCAAACTCGAATCCTACATGATCACCAATGCCCCCGTGGTTCCCCCAGACAGCGTCATCAAGACCTTCAGCAACCTCAAGGGCGACCGAATAGACTTTGTCATTACCCAAGACAAGGACGGACTGGCGCCCGGCAGTTTCGTAATCCGGAACGGCGAGTGGGCAAAGTTCTTTCTCGACAGCTGGTTCGATCCCATCTACCGCAGTTACAACTTCCAAAAGGCCGAATACCATGCGCTGGAGCACATTGTACAGTATGTATTGCGGAATCTCGAGGGAAAAACTTTAATTTAGAGACTAACCTGTGGAATAGATGGCACGGCACCATTCTCGCCAAGCTCGCCATGGTCCCCCAGAACCTACTCAATTCATACGCCTCGGGCCCTGCTAACCCCAAGGACGGACAGTTCAAAGAGGGCGATCTCGTCGCTGGCTTCCCCGGCTGCGACAGGGGCGAAGGTCGAAACTGCCCCAAGGAACAAGAGCTGTACTGGGCCAAGCTGGAAGAAAACACGAAGAACTAGACCAAAGAAAACGACTTTTGACCTTGTTTTTTTGTATATTCCTCTGCTTCTTGTTGGCCATACCTATACATGAGTCAGTGAAGAAACACAGACACACACGCACACACACACATACATACATCCGCATGCCGCATGAACTAGACTGGCGTTCAAAGGCGTTGTTTGGTATCGCATTGTGAATCATGCATGGGCTATTGGTGGAAAAGGCAAAGGAGCCTGAATTCTCATCTTTGCTGCCACCACCACCCACTCATACAACAGCACAGCATCGCGGGGGGGGCCAGGGCCCTTTACAACAAACGTCCATAATGTAAAGACGCATTTCCCAGATTTCAAGTTTTCACATAGCTACGTTTATAAATTCAAACCTCTTATGTTTACAATCGACAACAACAACAACGTCCAGTAATGAGGACGATGAGACCAAGTCAATCTACTCACTTGCGCCTTTCGGTTTCCGCTGCCTCTTCACGCTGACCATGCTCCGCCTAGGCCTCTGCTTGCGGTCTCGACTGGAAACCTGTTTGGGCCCGCTGACCATGCTAGCACACATGGGGCGTCTCTGCCCGACAAACTTGCCCAGCGGGGAGAAGACTTCGATTTCAGGATACGACTCTTCCCACAGCAGCATATCGTCTTTCTTGTTGTCGTCGTAGAACTCTTCTTCAAGGACTTCCTGTGGATCGCGGCCCTCGCGTTCCGCCCGCGCAAGCGCATCGAACTTGCGCTGCTTGCGGTCGGCTTCAGCGGCGAGCCGGGCGGCGCGGTCACGCTGCGCTTGGTTGGGATCCTTTTTGACGAGGCCTGGGGGCTGCCAGCCGGGGGGACGACGAGTCTGGGCCGAGACCTCGACCCAGCCTACACCTTCGATGAGGATATCCGTAGCCCAGATTCTGTACGGCAGATTCTCGGGTTTCATTTTGCCGGCCACGGGGGACGTCACGGGGCCGGCGAGTTTCTTGGTGACGTCCCATTTGAGGGCGAATGTGCCTGCGGATTTGGCCCTGGGGCCGGCGTTTGGCGCGAGGATAGGCGGGGTTTGGAGCTGGCGGTCTGAAGTTTGGGCTTGGTAGTCGATTGCCTTTTCGGTGCGCGTGACGTGTGGGTGGATGGGCACGAAGGGGTACACGAGGAAGACGAGGTCCTGGGTAACGGGCGTGATGCGTATGAGGCCCCCGCCGAGGATGAGGGATTGCCCGGGCTTCAGGGTGTAGCGTTCTGAGTTGATGCGGTTTTTCATGACGAGGTCGTCGTGGGCGGATGCGAGGACAAACGTTTCTAGTCCCGGGGTTGTGCGTGCGAGACCTGGGAGGTCGATGAGTTCGCCGCGGTTCTGGCCAAAGGGGATGCGGATGGGAGAGGCGGTTGTACCGGGGAGCGATGAGGCAATGGGGAGGACAGGATAAAGTGTGTATGGCTGGGGTGGGGGCAGGAGGGCGTCCAGATCTTCGTCTTCATCTTCTTCTTCTTCGTCGGGCTTCTCTTCCAGTTCTCCGGGAGGCTGATGGAGATGTTCTTGTTGCTTGTTCTTTAGACGCTCCGTTTCGGCGTCCTCATCAGCGAGCTGTTTTTGGACCTGCAAAAGCTCTTCCAGCGACTTTGCGCTGCTGAGCATTGCCTCTCGCTCGGCTGCGCTCCGTATCTTGCGCACTTCCTGGTAGTCTGCTCCCCGCCCTTTGGGAAAGACGGCCTCGAAGAGATTGGACTTGCCGACATTGACCTTGCCGACCATCCAGCCTGCGCCTCCGCGTTGCCATATATCTTCCTTGACCTGCTTGGTCCACCACCCCCGCTTTGCACTGACGAGTCGCACGTTGCCCAAGCGCGCATTCGCATTCTGTCGGCCCAGCGCATCGCGAAGGACGTCTCGAATATACGGCATCAATGCATCGACCTGCTCTTTCTTAGGCGCTAGGAGATCTGCTCTGGTGATGATGAAGCTGACCTCTGCAATGCGGTCGTTGGCAACCCATCCCTTGTGTTTCGCTCGCCTATTTTGTGTTCGCAGCTTGGGAATGCGCAAAGAGGACTGGAGGTTTGGGACGATGGAGAGTGGAAAATCGGCTGCATCGACGACGTGGTAGACGTGGTTGCGTCGGTGCGGCGACTCGGCAATGGTCTGTTGTATGGATTCGACGGTCGGGTGGTGAATGGGCGACCCCACGCGATGGTGGAGGAGATTGTGGCATCGATCACACACTGGTGTTGACGGCGCCTCGGTGTCTTCTGGGGCTTCTTTGGCCTCGGTGAGTCCCAGCTCTCCCAGCAATTTGCGGTCTACATTGCTGAGCGCCTTTTCATAGATATGGTCTTCTTCCGTCGTCTCTTTTGACGCATTCGGGACCCAGTCGAGATATGCCCGTACCGCCTTTCGGTCTAGGTTGTAGTAGCCCGCCTCATTTTGCTCGTAAATCTGTGTTGGCGCACCGCATCCCGGACATGCTCGAGGCAGCGATCTCGGGGCTGGTGTTTCTGCTGGGACGGCAACGTGGGTTTGCTCTCTTTTCCGTCTCGACGTTGAAAAACTTTGCGAAGACCAGACTGGTGGCGGGTCACGGCGAAGGGTGGCTATGGGCGCTCGCAGCAGCGCAGGGCAGAGGAAGACGGGGATGGAGGCTTCATGGCTCAGCAGCGTCCCAGCGTGCCTGAGCGCTCGCCGCATGCTGTGTCAAATGGAGTGCCGCTCTCATTCTGCCCTGCCCCTCGACGCGACGCGCAGTCTGGAAAAATTCCCCCCCGGCGTTTGTCGGAGTTAGCAGGGGTGGGGCAACGGGCGAATGGAAGACGGGCGTGTGTCGCCCCCCACCCGAGTCATCGTTAGCAATTGTCAAAGCTCTCCCGCGGCGGCGTGGAGGGGAGGGTATTATTGCTTTTCTGGGGTATTTTGCTCAGACCACCCGCCCACTGTTGCACAAGCTGCTTCGACTGCATCTGCGAAGCATTGCTCCTCGTCTCCCGCCCTCTCATCTAGCTCCCAGCATCGCCATGCTCGCCTCCTCAAGAACAGCACTGCGCCAGGCCGCGGCCAAGCAGCTGTCCCTCCGCTCCACTGTCCGAGCTGTGTCTGCATGGTCGCAGGTGCCCCAAGGCCCTCCAGTAAGTGGCAAAAGCAACGCGGCGCCCCATTGAACCGTGCCAATGCTAACCCACGTGTCTAGGATGTAGGTGCAGCCTCTGTGTATAGCTAAGCTAGCTCCCCAGCTCACCGCGCTCACTCCAGGCCATTCTGGGTATCACCGAAGCCTACAAGGCCGACAGCAACCCCAAGAAGATCAATCTCGGTCAGTGACGCGCTGCAGCTGCACAAGGACATGGCAATTGACTGGCCCCGCAGGTGTCGGCGCCTACCGCGATGACAAGGGCAAGCCCTACGTCCTGCCCTCGGTGAGGGAGGCAGAGAAGAAGGTGGTTGACTCAGCGCTCGACAAGGAGTACGCCGGCATCACCGGTGTGCCCAACTTCACCAAGGCAGCGCTCAAGCTCGCATACGGTGCCGACTCGAAGCCCCTCAACGAGGACTGCATCGCCGTCACCCAGTCCATCTCGGGCACGGGTGCCCTGCGCATCGGCGGTGCCTTCCTCGAGCGCCACTACCCCGGTCCCAAGACCATCTACATTCCCACGCCCTCGTGGGCCAACCACAATGCCGTCTTCAAGGACTCTGGCCTCAAGGTGGAGAAGTACCGCTACTACAACAAGGACACGATTGGCCTCGACTTTGAGGGAATGATTGCCGACATCAAGGCCATGCCCAAGAACAGCATCGTGTTGCTCCACGCCTGCGCACACAACCCGACGGGTGTTGACCCTACTGAGGAGCAGTGGACCAAGATTGCCGACGCTGTCAAGGAGGGCGACCACTTCCCCTTCTTCGACATGGCGTACCAGGGCTTTGCCAGCGGCGACACGGCCAAGGACGCCTTTGCGCTCCGGCACTTCATCAAGGAGGGTCTGCGTCCTGTGCTTGCGCAGTCGTTTGCCAAGAACATGGGTCTGTATGGCGAGCGTGTTGGTGCTTTCTCGGTTGTGTGCGAGTCTGCCGAGGAGAAGAAGCGTGTCGACTCGCAGGTCAAGATCCTGGTGCGCCCATTGTACTCCAACCCTCCGGTGCACGGAGCCCGCATTGCATCTGAGATTCTGAACGACGCGGCGCTCAACAAGCAATGGCTTGGCGAAGTCAAGGGCATGGCGGACCGCATCATCACGATGCGTGCTCTCCTCAAGGAGAAGCTGGAGAAGCTGGGCAGCAAGCACGACTGGAGCCACATTACGTCGCAGATTGGCATGTTTGCATACACTGGGCTGACGGCGGAGCAGATGGACAAGCTCGCCAAGGAGGTGAGTGTGGAACAAGCACGATGGATGGACATGACAAGGCTAACTTGATGACAGCACTCGGTGTACGCTACCAAGGACGGGCGCATCTCGGTGGCAGGCATCACTAGCGAGAATGTCGGCCGTCTTGCCGAGGCCATCTACAAGGTCAAGGGTTAATTGCAGCAATCGAGTGACTCTGCCCCACGCTCCTGATGCACGAGTGGGCTTTTGCATGCATGCACGCATACACGAATATGTGCATGGCATGGCAGAGGGCGATGGCTAGAGTGTATTATACGGGTGCATTGGCGGCTGGTTGTTCAAAAAAAAACATGGTCTATGTATACGAGAAATGAAGTAGCTTTCCGATGCGTTGAGCGTGCTGGTAGTGTGTTTTGTGCCGAGGGGTTGAGAGAGAGAGAGTGTGTGTGTGGATGGATAGCAGGGCACTAACAGTGTAGGCTTTGGAATCCTTCACCGAGCTTTTCGCATTCGTGTTTGCTCAGTGCAGCGGCCCCCACACCCCGCACATGGTTGGCCATTCGGCGTGCAACCGCAAGCGTTGTGTAGATCGCTTCCTGATACGGCGCGGCTTCAACGTCAGTGTGGTGAGGTGTGATGGATGACGCTAGCTGCCGAACGCTTCGACCTTGGACGTGAGGTTGCGTGGGGCGAAACGGGTGAATGGCCACGGACGAGCGAAGCCACGAGCACGAGCACGAGCACGAGCGACTTTGCAATCGTCGGCTGTGCCATGGAGTTGGAATCTTTACAGTGCGTGGGCAGTCTTGGTTGCTGGCCATGAGCAGAGCGAGTCCGGATCCGCTGCTCAGTGCTGTGTCGCCAATAGCATGGCCGAGACAGAGACAGAGGCGACATCGGTCCACTTGTTTTCCCTGCAGCTGCGATCCGCGGGACCCTCGCACTCAGACTCGTGCTCGCTCTTCTACCCCCAAATGCTGATCCCGGACGTCGCTATGCCGCCATTTTCCAGCCATTGCCCCTCGAGCGAGCCCTGCCCTAGCAAGCCAGCCGGCAGCAGCCTATGGCAGCTCGGAAAAGGCCGGAAGAGCATGGGTGACACATAGGCATGGACTTACACCTACTGCAGGTTTGTTGTGTGTGTGGGAAAAAACTCAGGGCCAGGGATCGTGGGCCTTGGGCGTGCTTGTCGCGTGGGTTTAGTGCCCGGCCCTATGGCGTCTCGTGGTTGGGTTGTCGGGCAAGACACGGCGTTAGGGTTAAGGCATGAGTCGAGGGACAGCCAAGGCGGCGAGGAGCCGTCGCGGCGGCGGCGGTGGCAGCAGTGGCAGCAGTGGCAGCAGTGGCAGTGGCAGCATGCGGATGGAGTTTTGTGCGTCGTGGGCTAGTCAAGTCGAGTCGAGTGCAACCCAGCCGGCGGCAATTCAGGGTCTGGCGAGGCGGCATGCGCAATGACGACAGCTGAGGGTGTGACGTCGTCTGTCGCCGCCGAAAAAAAAACTAAACCCTCGTCTTCTCTTTATATTCGCACGCTGACACCCCGCCGTCCGAGTCACCCAACAGCGGGAAATGACATTTTTTCGAACGCTTCCAGGCCTTCTTGGCGCACGCTCACGCTCTCGCTCTCGCTTGCCTGCCTGCCTGCCTGCTTGCTTGCTCGCTCGCTGCCCGCTGTCTTGTTCCTTTCTCCCCCCTCTGTGCGTGTACACACGGCTGCAAATTTGTCCCCTCCCACCCGCGACGGGACAGAGCTGGAGCAGTGCGTGCAGAGGGCTGCGGCTAGCCTCGCCAGCCACAGGCAAGACGAGGGTGCGGGCGACGTGCCAGGTCAGAGGCCGACTCCACACGACCTGGGCGTGATGCATTACTTTTTGGCCGGGTAACCGATGAGAGCGAGGGGGGGGAGGGGGCTGGCCGCCGCCGCCGCCGCCGCCGCCTCCAGTCAGCCGCCGGAAGAGAGTAGTAGAGTAGGGCTTCGTAAAACAAGCGATCAACGGCGACTGATGGCTGCCGATTGACGTCGAGGTATCCACCCACATGTATCGAAGAGCCCTTATTCCTGCCCTCATCATCCCGTGCCCTCCCCCCCCTTCCGCCCCCCTTCCCCCCTCCCCTCTTTTTGCAGTGATGCAAACATCGACAATTCACGCCTTCTAGAACACGTTGCCAGCCAGCCAGCCGTATATGAGCGCCCTTCCCGTGACCATCGCTGCCAGCACTTGCCTCGCTCTCTCCCCCTCTCCCCCTCTCCCCGTATCTCGCCGACTCGCGCGTCCCGTCGCATTTTCCCGTGAACCGCATAGCAGCGCTGCCGCCGCCGCGTCCTTCGGCATCCGGCGCCGTGGAAGCTATCAGGGCTAAGTCGAGCAAATAGCAGCTCCCCCAAGCACACGGAGTGACCAGGTAGGCCGCCGCCAGCACTTGTGCGCCGTCTCCGTCACACTCAATTGCCCGCCCTGCATTGTCCCTAGACACTGACCCTTGGACTCTGTCCTCAGCTCCTCCCAACGGCCCTCGCACAACTGCAACTGCAACCACAACGGGCCGACCCTTTCGTCATCCACTAGGCCCAATCCAGCCGCGGCCAGTGAAGCAGACAGCCGCACGGCCCACGCCCGACCCAGGCGGCGCGCGAAAAAATATCCCGTTCGCGCCCCAGACTGCTCGCCTTCGCTGCGACACCAGTGCGACCCGGTGTCGACCGCATCCTCATCCCCCCAGTGACGAGCGCATTCTGGCCATCGGATTTGCTGTTCCGTCTCGAGCAAAATGGCGGCTGCCGACGACCAGGTTCGTGTGCCCCTCCTGCTGCTCCTGCCTAGAACCCCGCCATGCCTTGCCCGCCCCCCCAGCACGTGTCTTGCTCTCTCTCGCTCGCTCTCATTCTCCTGTTGCCTCTGCCCTGCACCGCCCTGCACTGCCCTGCCATACCCACCCTACGCGCTGACCGTCCCGACCACCTGACCTAAACTTTTTTGCAGCAGCAGCAGCAGCAGAACGGCGACATCATGTCGATTCCCGGCGCCGAAGACCAGATCGACCCGGCCACCTTTGAGCAGATTCTCGAGATGGACGAGGACGAGGAGGAGCGCGAGTTCAGCAAAAGCATCGTCTACGACTTCTTTGGCCAGGCAGACCAGACGTTCAAGAAGATGGACAAGGAGCTGTGAGTGCCCTCTGCAGCCGCCCGCCGCGCGCGCACACCATCGTCAGCATCATGATGACGACACGCTTGCGCCCACGCTGTCACCCCTCCAACCTCGCCATGTGCCCGGGCTAACTGGCGACAGAGAAAAAAAGGACGGCAAGTACCTCAAGGAACTCAGTGAGCTCGGCCACTTCCTCAAGGGCTCGTCGGCTACGCTCGGCCTCACCAAAGTCAAGGACTCGTGCGAGAAGATTCAACATTACGGCCAATTGAAGGACGAGGCAGGCACAAAGGACATTACAGAGGAGCAGGCCCAGGAGAACTTGGGCAAGATTATCAAGCAGGCCAAGACGGAGTTTGCAGAGGTCAAGGACATTCTCAAGGAGTTCTACAAGGACGACGATGCTTGAGGGGCATATGCTGCTGCCACTGTCGCTACCGCCGTCAGAGCAATGGCGCGAGCACCCGTCTCGCACTCGCCATGCTCGCCGGGGGGGAAACCATGGCATTTGCGGTAGAGAAGCTTCGGATAGTCCGCTGCGACGACCACGGCCCGACGCTGGTGTCTCCGGCCTGACCTACTGCCACTCCCCAAATCTTTACGAATCCTCTTAGTCTGTTTGTTGCACCCCTCGTCTTGAGTTTGTAGGGCTGTTTTCTCCTTCACCATGTCGTCATTGGGTAGCCAGTATTAGTCTACGTAGCCTGTCCCAAATCGGCCTATTGATAATTCTGCATCGCGCTGCGTTAGACCTGGAGGCGGAGGAGGCGCAAATCAACGGTCCAAGGTGCTGCAATGCATGCTTGACTTGTCTTGTCTTGTCCTGTGCTGTCCTGTCCTGTGCCGTAGAATATTCCTCAGCCCTACCACGCGCTCATGGCAAAGGGCCGAACGCCTGCGCCCAACCCGCTTGACAAGAAGCGGCAGCGGCGCATGTGCATGTCAGTCACCCCACCTGTTGGGGGCTACGTCACTTGCTGCATACGCCAGTGCCAAGAAGTGCCTGTGATAGGCTGCTCGCGCTGACCCATCAATCCTCAACACCAGCATCGCTTCTATCGCTAGGTTGCCTTTTTGTCGCGGCCTTTTCTCCCATTGTTTGCCGACGTTGCCGTGCCATGTCATGTCATGTGACGCGCGGCTGGCCCCCAGCTGTTTTCTCCCTGTTCGTTTTCCAATGACCCTGTTTGTTGACCTTTTCCCTCTCTCGCGCGACGCTTCAACTTTTCATGCTGGTTGCGACCATTGGGCGTCGAACTGCTCTTGGACCAATCAATCGCCTCGTTACTATCACACCTGCTAGCGCGTCATTCACCTCTAATCGGCTTGCAACTCGGCTCCAACCATGGGCAAGAAAAAGTCTAGAGGCGAATACAATGACTATCTGGACGGTGAAAAGCTGCGCGATAACACCGAGATCAGGACATCGTTGCAGGGGTCCGCACAACGAGACGTTTCGTCATTACCAGCAAGCCAGGATGCTAGGGCAAGCAGGAAGCAGGGAAAGGGCGCGGCCAAGAAGCCTGCACTCACCCACTTTCTGTGTCTACCGCTCGTTACAGACTCTAGCAGACCACAGCTCCAGCAGGGACTAGACAAGCTCAGGCAAGATCTGACGAGCGCCAGCCCAGTGCCTGCAAAGGCCGTGCGACCAGTTGGCACACTCCATCTCACCCTGGGGGTGATGAGTCTCGATGCAAAAGAGTTGGAAGCTGCGAAACGATACTTGGACGATTTGGATTTGCACGCTCTCCTTCGCGATGTAACTCATCGCTGCATAGCACAGCGGGCTGCTGAAGAGGGCGCAATCGGAGAGAACCTCACTCCAGCGACCATGCCCGACACGGACGCCTTGACTATCAACCTAGAATCTCTAGTCCCAATGCAGGCACCACAAAAAACAAGCATTCTGTACGCGGAGCCTCGAGATCCTTCGCTACGCCTGCAGCCGTTTGCCTTGGCCTTGAAGGAGCAATTCACAGCGAGGGGCTTCATGGTTGCAGAGACAAGGCCGCTGAAGCTGCACGCCACCGTCATGAACACCATCTATGCGAAGCCCAAGCGCGGCAGGGGCCGGCCGAAGAGTGCCAAAATCAAAGACGGGCTGAAGCATGTTGAGCAGAAAATATCCCCACACCATCACGAGCAAAGCAGCAGCAACGCGCAGCATAACGAAGACGATGGGGCATCAACGGCGGGCTCACTAGATGGAGACCAGAACCAAGTCCCGCCAACTACAGGAGAAGGCCACGGTCCCGATGGAAAGAGTTGGTTGAGATTCGACGCTACACGTCTGATTAACGAGTACAAGGGCTTTGTATGGGCGCGAGACGTCCGCGTGGATAGAGTGTGCATCTGTGAGATGGGTGCCAAGAAGATTTGGAGTGGCGGCCGAGAGGGCGAGGGTGAAGTGCTGGATGAGCAGTACACGGTTGTTGCTGAAAGGGGTATGTTTGAGTAAATCATAAGACATTTGAAGGAATGTTTCTGCGCTCTGATAATGTGAGCAAGGGATTGGTGTCTAGAATGGTTCTCTAGAATTCTGAGTAGATGTCGTAGCGAGGATTCGCGTCTACTTGGAGCTGCGTACCTACATAGCAAGGAGAAGGAGGAAGTTCTGGGTTTTAAAAAACATCAACATGCAGCAAAAAAAAAGCTATGTAGACTTTATAGATAGTCTCGTTGTCCCAGCTCCTAGAGTATACACTATCACTATACATATTCTTCTTTACTGTACCCTGCAATCTGGAAAAAAAACTATTCACTTTGATCAAAGCCCGACCACATCCATCCATCCATCCATCCATGCATCAGCGCCGCTCCGCCTCCAACTTTCCAATCTCAGCCTCAACCCTCTGCACCTCGTCGACCAACCACATCTTCCTCGCGGCCAAATCGCGCATTCCCTTGTCCCCCGCCCTCTCATAAAGCTCCAGCTCCCTGTTGGCCAGGGCCTCGCGATCCTTGAGCGCGCGCTCGCCACTGCCCTGGGCCCTACGGAACTGCTTGAGCGCGGCCACGAACTCGGCAGGCGGCGCATGGCTATACGAATGGATTTTCGCCTGCAGACCCAGCACGACGGAGCGCGCGTGCAGCAGCTCCGCCGACGACCGCGTGTGGCGTGCCAGCGCCCCTTGCTGCGTTTGCTCGAGCGCCTGGATGGCTGCCGTCAGCAGCGCCGAGTGCGCCGCCAGCAGCAGGGAGAAACTATGCGTTAGCTGGAGATGCGCCGCTTGCACATCTGCAGGCAGCGCTACACTCGCATCGTGCTGCAGCGCCGCAGCCGTACCGCTCAGCTCCGCTGTCGAGAGCCCTGTTCCCGGAGCCGCAATCACACACAGGTGGTGCGCTGTGAGGCTGAGTTGCGTGGACACGGCCGCGGAAATAATGTCCATGTTGGAGAGGAAAACTTGCACGTCGTGAGACAGGATGGCGCGGTCTCCTGCGCGCACGCGGCCCTGCAGCTGCGCCGCGGCGATGTCGATGGCCGGGTAGAGATCATCTGGGAGGGAGGTGGAGGAGAGAGAGGTGGAGGAGAGAGAGCTGAGTGTGCTGATTAGGATTTGTGAGGTCAGATGTGTTGTGCGGGCGGTTGTGAGCGTCTGTTGATGTTGTTAGTTTTTTTTTCCTTTTTTCCTTTTTTTTAAATTCTTTTGTTCATAGGATTTTCATGGGATTGTGAGGATGCTGTTTGCTTTGTTGGATATAGAAAGAGAGAAAAAAGAACTCCATGCAAAGTTTGGATAATAATAAGGTGGAATTCAGTGTTGGGTTGGGTAGGAAAGTTTATGTTTGATATATGATATGTAAACACAAAAAACAACAACAGACAAATCAACACCGAAGTACCAACCACCAACGCCCATGTCAACAACGGATTTATGAATGAAATCAAAATAAATGAATAAATGAATAGAAGAAAACGCAATAAATGTGAGACTTTGGAGTATCGGGGCGTGAGGAGCGGAATAAACACAAGCAATTTCATACCCTGCGTATCTCATCATGCACACGCTGCTTCTTGGTCTCGCGCGTCGACCCGCTGGGATTCAGCTTCCTGGCACACAGATCTTTGTACAAGACTTCGAAATTCGGATTGCGCTGCAGCACGGCGGGATCGACTGGTGGAAGCATTTTTTTGGGTTGTTGTTGTGTGTTTGGCGTCACGCCCTTACGCGCGGGTTTCACACAAGAAGTTTGGGAGTCGGTGTGTGTGTGTGTGTGAGTGTGTGTGTGTTGTTGGGAGTGAAGGTACGGAGGGCCCGCTAGAGCGTGTTGGGGCTTAGTGGCTTGGCGTACTTGGGGCTGTTTTGCTGTCAGACGAGCAATGGGATGACTTGTGACAACTTTTTTGTTTTGGAGTTGAGAATGAACCGGTGAGATGATTATGGGAACTTGGGAGAGTGTTGTGAAACAATATTTAGGAGTCATACTCAAGGACATGTTGCATGCATTGCCATGAACGTTTCTCTTACGCCCCGACTAAGTGCTTTCGATGAGAAATCCGACTACCCATTAGGAAAGCCATGAAGAGATGATCAGTGTGGGGGTATGTGTAAGCGTGTTAGTAAGATTATAGTACGGCCATTCTCCTAACAGCATGAAAATCCCGTCTGGCACGTCGACTGCTTTTGGTAGCATTTGATTCCATATGCTCGTTTACTTGAGCGATTAGGACATTTACACCAAAAAACAAGACCACCTGTCTTCTGTCCATTCTACATAAGCTGTAAGACCAGCATTTAGATAGCCGTAGTGCAGCATCATATGTATGTAAAAGGAGAAGCGATATTTGTACACGCGGTCATTACGATATCTAGATAACAAGTGCGCACGTTCCATTAATACGTAAACTACAGACGACAACATATGTGCGTACGTACACCCACTGATTCCTGCCCCCATTCGAAAATGTCTAGAATATGTTGCCACTATTCTGCAGTAGCGATGGATCAGTGTCCCACAATAAACTGGGTCGAGAAGCATCAGATTAGAGATCAGACCAGCGGCTGGGCCTAACTAAAAAGCTTAATACAAGAACAAACCCCCCTCGTGCCACTTCCGGCCCGCTACCCGTACTGTAGTCCAGGGTAAGTGGGCCATATCATTACGAAGTGGCCATCACCCCGTCGGTCTCGAATACAATGGTCTCGAAGGGTTATTTCCGGTTATTTTGCAATAGTGCCTAGGGTTGTACTCCTGAAATCTTCGTGTGTAAATATATTCGTATTACAGATGAGCCAGCCACGCAAGGACATAGTGACAGTGAGTCAGTAGATGAACGTGAACATTTGACCCTCGGCTTTTCTGCCTCGTGGATTCTTTACGCCCACGGCTCTTGTGGGAATCGTGGCTGTATGCTGTCTTGTGCTATTAATCTAAGCAACCAAGACCGCATAGAAGATGACGTTGCCAGCGGAGTATAAATAAGTAACCTGGTGGTAACTGTTCCTCGAAGCACTTAGCGTGAAACAAGGCGGCGCTAGTGACGCCACCATGATTCTGTTCGTACCGGTTATCCTCCCTTCAACCGTGTATTTCTCTTACTCATTGTATAGCCTTCCTTGCATTACCATAAGATACACCGCGGGGCATGCATATGGGCCTGCTGCAGGACAGGTAAATGGGCGGCTATTGTCCGACGTTTGAAACACGGTGTCATGACAGACCCGCTGCGTGTTTGTTTCAGTGCCAGGTACGCTGCCCTTGGTGTCGCCCCATGGGCTGGCCCTTCAGCCGCTCTAGAACCTTTGTGTTGTATGGCATATTGAATTAATCTTGTGTCGTTTCAGGACTTGTGAAAGGGCGGTCAAAGCTGCGTATGCGTTCCCAAGCTTTACCAAGCCTTCGCAAGCCTTGCAGCGCTACACTCAGCGCACGCCCTTCGCACATGCGGAGACTGTGCTGTGTTCAGTGTCGAATTCAACCAAACTGGCCACTTTACCCCGGATCCGCCGTGCTCAATTCACTCCTGGCTCGTGAAATGCCGTTTAGCCACGAGTCTTCGGCTCCACAGCGGTACATCAGCTGACCATGCGGCCGCACAGCCATCTGTCCGCTGCGCCATTATCGGGACTCGTTTACGATGGGGGCTGTCATTTACTGGTCTGGAGGCTTTTTCTCGATTGCACTAACGGCGTCATGTACCCCAGACGGCGCGCAGCCTGCCCAGTGCTCGTGCATGAAGCCGACGTGTGCTACGGCAATAACCCCTGTCTGATCTACACCACATGGCTGCTCAAATAGATTACGACAACGGATGAAAGGACCATTTATCCCCCGAGCGAAACAAATGAGCGTTTTTCGCCCCACTGCTCAATATGGGGCTACTTGACCAGACGGATATTCTGCCTAAACAACTCGCCATGGTACACAACTCGACTCCTTACATATATGGATACGTTGGCTGCCCGGAAGTGATCATCAGGCACCTCTCCACCCAAACAACAAACGCTCACTTTACCGTTTCAACGACTACAAACCACAAATCACAATGAAGGTTTCCGCTGCTGCTGCTCTCTTGGTCGGCCTCGCCGCCGCCGGTCCCCTTGAACAGAGGCAAAGCTGCCCAAAAGTTTATATTTTCGGTGCCCGTGAGACTACTCAGCCTCAGAGCAACGGATACGGCACTGCTGCTGGCCTCGTCAACTCTGTCAAGTCGGCATACCCTGGCGCTGGCTCTGAGGCCATTGTCTACCCTGCCTGTGGCGGTGGATCCGCTTGCGGTGGAATCAGCTACGACAACTCGGCTTCCCAAGGAACTCAGGCTGTTGTCAAGGCCGTGACCTCCTTCAACCAGAGATGCCCCGACTCCCAGATTGTCCTCATCGGATACTCCCAGGTTCGTTTCAACCATCCAACGTACCACGACAACAGCACACTAACAGTACACAGGGTGGCCAGATCATGGACAACGCCTTCTGCGGCGGTGCAGGCTCTACTCTCAGCGGTGCCGCCCTCAAGGCCGTCAAGGCCGCCATCTTCATGGGTGACCCACACAACCGTTCCGGTCTCCCCTACAACGTTGGTACCTGCAAGGCCCAAGGCGTAAGTCTCCCATCACCCAGTCATACAATCTATGCCAGTCTAACAAGCTCTCTCTCAGTTTGCCGCCCGTCCCTCAGGCTTCACCTGCTCCCCCGGCAGCAGCAGCCTCATCCAAAGCTACTGCGACTCGCAGGACCCCTACTGCTGCAACGGCAACGACGCAAACCACCACCAGCAATACGTCAGCATCTACGGCAGCCAGGCCCTTGCTTTCATCAAGAGCAAGGTCACTGCTTAAACGCATCTTTTGCTTCCGCAGTGCGAAAAAAAAAGACTTCAAATTGTTTCGTCTTGTCACGACTTACAGACTCACACACATACTTTCAATGTATATATCAATTCTCAGCGCTTGTATATATTATCTCTATATACCCTTTTTTTGCCCAACAAAACAAATCATCTTGAGCAAATCATTTTACATACATACCACTCCAGCCACGCGTAATACCCGTACCGTGCCTCTCATCCCCAGGACCCCGGCGGCCCCCGAGACAGCGCGAGCCAGGTGTGTAACCATGATTTAGCGCATCTAATTACGACCTGGGCAATATATTGCTCACAAGGGTATTCTGTACATAAAAGAACTTTTGTTGAAGATGCACACGGCTTTGTTTTTATTGTTAGCGGAAAACGTGATTTGTTGGACATGGCGGCTTGGTTGCTGAATCAGGTACGTGGACGGAATGCAGGCGGGTATGTAGGTAGGTAGGTAGATAGGTAAGTTATCTCACGCTTGTATTGAAGATATAGGCACGAGCACGACGCGTATGTATATATGTATGTGTGTATGTGTGTATGTGTGTATGTGTGTATGTGTGTATGTGTGTATGTGTGTATGTGTGTATGTGTGTATGTGTGTATGTGTGTATGTGTGTATGTGTGTATGTGTGTATGTGTGTATGTGTGTGTGTGTAAAAAGGAAAAAGAGAGAAGGAAGTTGCTCAAGATGTATGTGTGCACATATGAGGAGAATGGACTTGTTCAAGATTCATGCACCTATAGGGCCATGTAAACAAGGTATGGGCTTTGGTTTTGTGCGGGGATGAGCGGGCATGTTTTGGTTGCTGTTATGGATGTCTGGGTGCTTGTGTTGGCTGGAGAATAGCCGTGTTTCCATGTATGTATATGGGTGGAAGCGCTTCATATCTAAGAGCGAAATTCAGATGTGTAAGTACGCCAATATACTGGTGTTGCGATTGAACTAGAATGGGTGTAAAGGATGCTTACTTACTTACTTGGTTAGTTGGTTGTGTGGTTGGTTGCTCCAGTCTACTTCAAAATCACAGTCACATAGCATAGCAATCTCACATTAGAAAAAAAACTACGAGAAAGTTACAGGCAAGCAGGCTTTCAAAATAAAAGAATAAATGCAGGTTCATGCATATACATAGCCTACTCTAAAGATCAAAACCCCACCAAGTTTCCAGACGCCATGCAAATATGCACATTGAAATTTCATTAACGTTCGTCTTCCTCTCCCTCCCTCTTTCGCTCTCTCTAAACTTCACACAGCTTACAACTTCGCCTTTGGCCACTGGTCGAGCAGATCGGTCATTTCGAAGCGGGGCCAGTCCGGGTTGAGGCTTGGGGCGGGTCTTTCGCGGTCCCAGGCCCATTTCTGCTGGAGCTCTGGCTCGAGGTCGTCTTCGAGCATTTGCACGACGTACTTGCCGAGGACGGGGAAGAACTTGTAGCCGTGGAACGAGCCGCATGTTGCGACGTAGAGGCCCTTTGCGGCGGCGTGCGGCGAGATGATGAAGTCGGATGACGTGGTGAAGGCGTCCCTGGCGCAATGTTAGTATCATGTGGAATAGCGCTCAAAGTAGGGATGTTGTTGACGTACCAGCAAATTCGGTGCTTGTCCATCTTCCAGTTTGCGCCCTTCTTGCCGTAGAAGACGTGGTTGGCGTGGGAAATATCGAGCTTCAGCGGGCCGGGCACGTCCCATTGGCTGTAGTCCTTTGACGATGGAGGCGCAGAGACAAAGCGGCCAGGGAGGACTTCGTGTGTGTTCTTGAAGATCTTCTCGCCCCACCACTTGAGCTCGCGGTCCTTGGTGGGCGGCAGGCTGCCGATGAAGGGGCCGTATGCGGCTGTGTAGCCCTGGACGCCAACGGGCATGTGCTTGAATTTCTCGTACGACTGCTCGTCGAGCGTCGTCATGCCCGTCGTGATACCACCAGCAACAATTCGCGATCCAGCACGGAGGTTTGGATTCCCGCTCTTGTGGGCGGCCTGCTCGAGGAGCTTGGCCGTGTACGCACCCGTAGACAGAATCGTGTGTGTGGCTGACAGCGTGTTGCCCTGCTCTGTCCTGACGCCAGTGCAACGGCCAGTACTGTCGAACTCGAGGCTCTCGACCTTTTGCGTCACGTACTTGACGCCCTGTTCAATCGACCACTTGGTAACGGCTCTCAGCGCATCGCCAGCCTGAGCCCAGCCACTGGTCTTGTTGACAAGGACGCTCTTGGCACCGTCGTAGTTGGCTTCGTCAAAGAGGCCACCAAACATCTTCTTTGCCTCCTCAACAGAGACAGCCTGGAGGTCTGCCTCGCGGCCAAGCTTCTTGTAGTTGTCAATGACATCCTGTGCATAGTCTGAGCGGCAGACCCAGAAGATGCCCGTCTCATGGAAGTAGGGCTGCCAGAGGGGATCCTGCTTGAAGACATCCTGGGCCTCGAGAGCAAGCCGGCAGTAGATGAGATCGTCGTAGTCGGCGCGCACAACCTTGTTCCAATCCCACGAGGCAGCGACGCGGCTCTCGGCGTCCCAGGCGTCTTGGTCGACCACTGTGATCTGGCGGTCTGGGTACTTCTTGATGAGGTGGTAGGCGGTCGAGATGCCAAAGACGCCGGCGCCGACGACGAGGTATGAGGGTTTGCTGGATGCCATGTTGTTCAAGATCCAAGTCTTTTCGTCGCAGAGCATGAAAGGAGAGCGAGGTTTGGGGCAGCGATGAGGCCAGCTCTCCACCACGCATTGTATTTATACCGACATGTCCTACACCGACTGCTTGCTATCCTAAAGCGGCCGACCCGATAAGTGGGCCGTTCTCGGCTTCATCGTCGTGGGTCGTGGGTAGAGCGGGCGCGGGGCATTCGTGGAGCTTGTTTCCTCATTGAGCAAAGCTTTGCGACGCGCGAGCTCGAGTAATTGTCCGCCGCCTTTTCCGCCGGCTGCCATGGCTCCAATTGGACATGACAAGTAATCGATAGCCTGCGTATCTGCTGATATGCACGTCTTGACGGCTGCTTCTGTCCTCACCGACGGTTCCGAGTCTCGAGGCCGTTGGAGCCGCCGCTGCGTCTAGACGAGAGGAATGCCAGATTGGGAACTAGATACACGCTAACTCCTTTAGGTAATCCATCGCGGCCACTGACGGTGAGGGCGTGTCATACGGTCGAATGGGCGGCTGGATCACAGGGTTTCTGCGTAAGAACAATACGTCAATGTATGGAGCTGGTGAACATGATCTCAGTCAACGGCCAGGCACTTTGGAGTGTACTCAATAGTTTCGCGTTGCGTCCATGTATTAAGAATAGTATTACAAGAATAGAAGACATCGCCGATATCTATCTAAGGGGTGAAATATCTCAACAGTACTGAAAAAGCAACATATTGCGAATATCTGAGTAGTGGGAACAAAGAGCTCTACACAGTTCATGTAGGATGCAAACAGCCCAGCTTACCACCAGACACCAATCCCACCAGCACGGCTCGGTCCGCAGGGCAATCATTTATCAGCCATTGGCCATCGAACATGATTGAGTCAGCTAGCCAGCCAGCATACGCTGCGACCATATACAGTTTTTGCTCCTCCCTACTGTACAGTCAGCGCCTAATACCGTGGCTTATACCCCCTAAACACTGTATGGGCAAATCAGAAGTTCGCAATGCATACACACCTGAACCTACCTATTCGCTGCCCTGGCATCTATTGCAGAGGCTAGTGCCATGATCGGACACCCAAGGGCCAGGTAAGCCAATCCACCAAGTACGCGGGGCAAGGAAATGACAGGTACGAGGGTTCTAGTGCACGATCCATCGAATCTTATACTCGTTGCTTAGCCCTCGACGCTGATCAAATAGCGATGGGGAATCCCTTGGCTGGTTAGTAATAACTGGTAGATGTCTTCCCCTGGAGAGTGGGGTGCTAGGCTTTCATGTTCCGAGTCACACTTGCACAATTCTGTACTCTAACTGTCCACTCACAAACTGCATTCAAAAGCGTGCTAATTACAACAATATCTTTAAAACGAGTTAAAGCTATATAAACTCTCTATACTCATGCCCAGAATAACTGCAGACATCACACTCAAATTCACACCACCGTAACAGTGCCGTTCACCCTCAAGTCCAAGGAACTCGAGCCAACATGGACAATGAAATCCCCCTTCTCAACCACATACTGCATCTTCCTATCCCAGACACCCCAATTGGATACGTCGAGGTCGATGGATACATTTACTGTCTCACCCGCCTTGACCATGACCTTCTTGAACCCCTTGAGTTCCTTGTTGGGCACCACCACACTGGCAAATACGTCCTGCACGTAGACCTGCACGACCTCCTTTCCATCGACGGGCGACGTGTTGGTCACGGCTACCGTCACAGTAACCGTGTCGCTTGATCCAACCTGTGTCTTGGAGAGCTTCACGTCGGAGTAACTAAAGTTGGCATACGAAAGGCCATATCCGAATTCGTATAACGGCTGCGGCGTGTTGAGCACGTATTGATGGCCGAATTTCAGTGTGCCATTTGTCAGAATGGCGCCAGCATCGGTGGAACGGCCACTATTCATATAGTCGTAGTAGATAGGTAGTGTTCCCACGTCGTAGGGGAACGAAACGGAAAGCTTGCCTGAGGGTGTAACGTCGCCAAAGAGTACATCGGAGAGACCGTTACCGCCCTGCTCGCCGGGATAGAACATTTGCAAGAGTCCGGCTGCCTCATTGGAAATCCAGGGTTCAGTGACGGGTTTGCCAGACGAGTACACGACAACAGTGGGCTTTCCGGTTTCGATGATTGCTTGGACGAGCGGACCCATGGCGCCGACGAGATTCAGCGATGCGACATCAACGTGCTCGCCGGTTGTGGCATTGAGGCCTTGCCAGAGCTCCTGCTGGTCACGCGACCATGTACCCACAACGACTACTGCGACGTCCGCTGCCTTGGCTGCGGCGAATGCATCAGCGAACCCAGACTGATCGTTTGACCAGCGCTCACAGCCTTGGGCGAACGTCACTTTCCCACTTGAGGCACTCTGGATGCCCTGAAAAGGCGTGACATTGGTGGGATTGTACTGCGAACGATACACGACGTAGTCGCCGAGGTTTGTAATGTTAGCCATAGGTCCGATGACGGCGATATTGGCAGACTTTGACAGCGGAAGAGTCTTGTTCTTGTTCTCAAGCAGGACAATAGAATCGGCTTCTAGCTTCCGTGCCAACGCAACGTGTTCGTCAGTGTGAATGATCGAGTCAATCTTGTCCGCAGGGACACCTTGGTAGGGGTGTTCGAAGAGGCCTTGCTGGAACTTGGCGCGGAGCTGCCGACTGACGGCCCTGTCGACAATCTTGATATCGAGTTTTCCTTCGTCCACCAGCCGGGGTATCTCGGCATAATTATAAGATCCTCCCCCCATTTCCACGTCGTTGCCGTTCGGGAGAGCCATGAGTGTCACAGCCTCGCTGTCAATGGGCTTGTCCTTGGTCTTGCACTGGCAGAGCTTAAAGCTGCAGCATAGACGATCTGTCGCTCCCGCATCTGAAGTAAGCCAGTATTTATAACCCCATTCATCCCTTAGGATTGTCTCTTGAAGATGGCCATCGGCTATTGATGGGATGCCGTCGTAGGAGTGGTATGCTCCCATGATGTTCCAAGCATCAGCGTCAATGATGGCGCGCTTGAACGGGGGAAGCCATGCCGTCCTCAGTTCTCTTTCGCCGCCATGAACCGGTCCGGTATTGAGCCCTTGCTCAGGATTGCTGAACCCTGCAAAGTGCTTGACGGTAGCGCTTACGTTGAGGCTCTGCACGCCTTTGACATACTCATACGCCATTTCTCCCGCCAGAAAAGGATCTTCGCCGTACGTCTCTTCTACTCTTCCGAAACGTAGCTCGCGTGCCAGGTCGGCTAGTGGCGCAAACAGTTGGTTGATGCCCAGAGCTAGAGCCTCCTTCGCAATGGCCACCGCCATCTCATTGATCAATTCGGGGTCGAATGAGCAGGCTTGCCCGATTGGGCTGTTGTAGATTGTTGCATTGCCCACCAACAAGCCATGGATGGCCTCCGTCTGAACCAGTGCTGGTATGCCCAGTGTTGTATTGTGCATGAGGTAGTCCTGGCCAATTTTGATGCCATTGCTGATCCATTCGGCTGGCATGGGATAGCCAACGTAAAACTGTCCCGCACGAACTCGAAAGTTCCATTCGAGGCCCGTCTGATTGAACGCGTTGGTGGTTGTGTTGATCCAGTTCGAGACGTCTCCTTGGATGAGCTGGGCCGTCTTTTCCTCTATGGTCATTCGTGAAAGAAGATCGGATACCCTGGCGTCAATTGAAGCCGAAGCATCCTTGTAGACCGCATTGGCCGCCTGCTCTCTTCGGACAAAGTGGTTAGCACTGCCGGGGAGATGCAAAGTGCACCCAGCAAGAAGAGAGGCTGCGCTCAGGATATTTGATCGCATATTGCAGTAAGCTGTGAGTGCAATTAGTGGAAACTGGGTTCTGTACAAGATGCGACAACTCTTATACGCTCTCACTAGGGCCCACGGGCCGTTGGAAAGCTGTAAGCAGACTCAGGGATGCCCCGCGGACAAATGCCTCCCGACATTGTGCCTGTATATTAAGGTACCGGCTCAATAGGTAACGAACGACGCAATACATTTGGCACTGAAAGAAACTGTGACGTCGCGCTTGGCTGCAAGCTCATTGAACTAAATGTGTCCTATGTTACTTATAGGAAAGAAACGTCCCAATGTATATTTTCGAGTCGGAAACCATCTAGATTCCATCAAAACCGGGGTATGTATCAGATGGGACATGGGGGAAGTAGGAAAGAAGTCGACGGTAATTGCGTGAAGCTTTCGCTTTGATTGACGGAAGAAATGGCGACTCCGCTTACCGAGCCCGCTCCTCCCCCGCTTCCAAGACAGATCTTCAACAAGCCAGGCATTTTACTTCTAGAGACCCCGGATCTTGGGTACTTGATTATACTTCGCACTAGGACTATCTCAGGATACTACATGCGATTCTTTGAGCTCGACGGGAACTAGGAAACAGTTCCGTGAGCTCCACCGCATCCTTGCAGTTGTGAGCATAGGTAGGCCCGTGGAGAGACCTGGAATCCATAAAAGCATGGCATTGAAGGATAGACGAAACTTGTATGCTCTTCTTTCTCATGAAAAAGCCGAAATAAGGGAGATGCCATTCTATCCTGAATACTCATGCTTTATTCATACGTCATGCACCATGCAATAACGCCAAGACCCCGCATTTGATCCAGAAAAAGCAGAGATAAACACCCGTTTGATAAATGCGCCTGGTATACCCATCCCTCGATAAATCTATCCATTGAAAAGCGTTTCCGTAACATCGTAATCGTACAAGAAGTGGGGAAGTCAAACCACTCTTGCGTAGCCTACTTCGCCCATACAAAGGTGGAAATCTAGGCTAACAGCATGAAAGGAGTAAAGAAAATAACCCACCATACCCTCTCTTTACCCCTTGTGCCCATGCCGCCAGAGGCTCCTGCAGCGAGAGGCGCAGGTGGTATCTCTGTGTTTGTCGGCGAGCTGGATGTCGAGGATGTACTCGGCGTGTGTCCTTCGGCACTAGCACTGGAAGGCTCGAGACTGCGGGACATGGATGGATTGTAGGAAGAAGGTGGTGAAGTAAGAGATTCGTTGACAGAGGTTCCTGAATGTGCCGAGGACGTGGCTCTGGTCGTTGGCAAAACAATGGATTTTGAAGGCGCTAGTGGGGCTGAAGTTGTTGCAGTAGCCAGCACACTCGAGACGTGAGTTGCCGAGGGCGCTGGGTGAGGATAGGACAAGGTGATGATGATGGTCGGGTTCAACGATATGGTCTTGGTCATTCCAGAGGAAATGCCCGAAAGCAATATGGACGAAAGGAGCCCGAGATTTATGGAAGAGCCAGCTAACAGGGCCGCGATGTCCACGTCTTTCCCCGCTCTGGGAAGGTTATGTGGCGCCGGACCAGCTGAGCTACTGACTAAAGGCTGTGCATGTAGTAGCCCGTCGGGCATCAAGACTGGTGCTGGAGTGACAACAGAGCTGTCTGGGGATGATAGGTCCGGAACGACAGCAGGTGCAGCTATGAGAGTCAGTTGCTGAAACCCAGTGGTCTGGGTACGATGCTGACTTACCGTCCTCGTTTTCATACGACTTTGGGACTGCACCGCCCAGTGTTAGCGTCGACAGGGCACTCAGCACCCATATTGATGAGGTTCGTCTCATGATGAAAGAGGGTGGAGACGCGATCGCGCAAGCTGTCACGCGCTGCGAGGAGCTAGACACGGATTGCAAAATCCAACTGCAAAGCCAAAAGAGCGTGTATCAACGAATGAAAGGGTTCAAAGCCGGCTGGGGTCACCACACGCGCAGCTGCTGGGTTCTTTTGTATTAATGCTAGGAGGATTGGTACGATTCCTCGCCGAAAGCTGGGTTTGGACGGGTGGCTGGTGGTCCCAGCCACCCGTCCAAAGCCTGCCTGAGAAAAAACAAGATCCCCGTCCACCTGTGCTTCTTGGGGCGCAGCGCCTGTATTCCACCACCGGAGGCATCTGAAACATTCCGATGTATCGATTTGCGCGCGGGTCAAGAAGCTGTGGCGTTGCGGTGAGCCGGTGAGATGGCAGCGACACGGGGCCCCGTCGCGGCAAGGCTGGGTACTTAGCACACATGCAAGTGGACATTGGTGTCACGAGGCCTTATTTGCTGGCTATCTCGCCAACACACATGTACCCTAGCCATTTGAATGGTACAACGCCGGCCAAAGGAGTTGAAACGAGCGGCTGGCAGTGCAGGCTTGGCATGTGGAAAGCGGCACCAGATTGTCCCCGCTTGCACGTGCAACATGCACATTGCCGTGGCGTTAAAACGAAGTCAGGATATCGCTTTTGAATACCACCCTTGCATAGTTCTAAACACCGCCCGGTTTATCTGCATCTTGACGAGACCCTGAATGTGCTAACCGAATTGAAGAGCATGTGCATTTCCTTTTCAACCCTCGCCTGCGATATCAGGTAGTCCATGGAGATGGCAGCATCATGGCTACTCCACGTGGCTACCACAGTGGCGTTGTATACGAAGACCCTTATCGCAGGCACAAGTACTGGCTTGTGACCCCGGACTATCCATTGCCCGATTCTACAGTACTAGGTGTTTTCTCTACCAAGGTAGTTCCTCGCCACTACGATGGAAAAACATTCCTGTACTCTCCAGCCCCTTAGTTGCCAAAACCTTCCAAAGATCCGCAGCCGCGTGGCTCGGCTCCACTGCGCCCGGTACTGCGCCCTCTTTATTCCTTGGGTCCAGCTTTGTCTTCACGATACCCGGGTGCAGCAAGATGACTGGTACATTTCTATCTTTCAAGTCAATAGCCATGTTCTTGAATAGTGCATTGACAGCAGCTTTCGACGCGCGATACGAGTACGCGCCTCCAGAGCTATTGTCGCCCATGCTTCCGACTCGCGACGACATGACCGCGATCTTGGGGTGTTGGGAAGATAGTACGTTCGGTAAAAGCGCCTGTGTAAGCAGCAGGGGGCCAGAAGTGTTCACAGCAAACGTCTTTTGAAATTCGCAAATGTCCACCGTCTCGAGAGTGTCAGCATCATGGGGTACCATAATCCCGGCTACGTTGAGTAACAGGTCAATTGGCTGAGTACCGGTGCTTTTTGCAAAAGAGGCGATGGAATCTGGAGATGAAACATCCAGCTGAGCGGTTTCACAGTCGAGGGATTGGATGGCTGCGCCGATCTCAATATCTGCCGCAATGACCCTGTAGCCCTGTTCTCTATATTCAGTAACCGCCTCATTATGGCTTGCATGGAGCTCAGCTGCTTACTTCTTGTACAAGAATCTTGGCGAGGGCATTTCCGATACCCGAATTGGCGCCTGTAATCACTGCGGTCGGCACCATACTTCCGCGACGTACTCTGTGTAATAGGTTTTATTTTTGATTCCGAGTGGAGTAACAGATAAGGAGGATTGAATGCCAAATAATTAATCAAAGCACACGGTGTGCTCTATTACCTGCGTAACACAACTATGACGTAGATGACGTTGATCTTACAAGTGAATTACTTCAAGGCTTATAATGTGGAGGAAACGGAAATTTTATCAATCATGAGATTTTGTTCGAGGCAAAATACAATCAGAGCATGCATTTGTCGGAACAGGTGTAAATGCTTGCCTTCAGCGGCTGCCCAATGAAGATTAGCACCACCACCATTCCTAATCTAGTCTAGCGTGTATTCCCTCAGTGCGCGAAGCGAAAGTCAAGCCGCTTGTTTCCTTCATCTTTTGTAGTTTCCAAGTACACTTCCTTTTCCTCTTTTGTCATGCTATTCCAAACCTGTTCTCTTTTCTTGTTTATGAGCACGTAATACAGCTTTGCACCCGCAAATACCACGAAGGTCAAGGCGGAAATGCCTATTAAAACCTTGTTGCCTCTCCGATACAGCGGCTTATCATCGTCGCGGTATATGTTCTGGCTAATGATACTGCTGGCTTGAACACACATGTTGTACATAGCTGAGGCGACTGTTCTCGTGCGTACCGTGCCAGCATTGCGCGATGTGATGGCGACAAGGATGGCGTGGACATACGGGTGGCCGACCAGCAGAGTAGACAATGTCCATCGCACCCAGGGAGACACTTTTGCAGGTAATACCTCGAGGGCGATGAGAAGCGGCAGTGCATAAACTTGCGAGAGAAGGCCTATGAGAAAGCGTTCGTTGAAGTGTTCAGACAACCAAGTCCAAAAGAGTAGCTGGATGATGAAAAGAACGTAGGCAGGAATCTACACTGTGTCAGTCTTGCTAAATATAGCCTCAGGATATTACCGACCGTGAGCAGGTTGGTCTCGAACGTGCCGAATCCAAGCGACCGAAGATTGAGAGTGAGATATGAAGTGGAAGGAGTGGTAGGGATCAACCAAGTCAAGCCGATTGCGTAGATGGGCCACATATGATAGTCCTTAAGGCACTCCCAAAGCATCCGGATACTCAAGCCCTGGCGGTTGTGCATGTCGCCCTTGCTCGGATCATCCCTCAATATTCGGTTGACCATGATCTTCTCTTCCCTCTCATTGAACCATCCATCCTTGCCACGAAAGGGGTTCCAGGCCTTGCTCGCCGTCTGCGTGGGGCTTGGAGGCAGATAAAACCACGAGCAGATGCCGATGAGTCCTGTTAAAAGCCCCTCCAAAGCGAATAGCCAACGCCACCCCTCCATGCCGTTGTGTTCACGGAGACGCAATATGCCAAATGCGAAGAAAGCAGACACAATCTGCGTCGACTGGTAGCTCACCCAGAACCAGCTCAATCGGCCGGGCAACTCCCACCCTGTATAGAAATAGCTGAGGTAAAGGATGTTATCAGGGATAAAACCTCCTTCAATTAAGCCCAGCAGTGCGCGACACGCAAAGAAAGAGCTGCGACCACTCAGAAAAGCCTGAAAGCTGGCAACCAGGCTCCACGATACCATCTGTATCGGAATCCAATTATCAGGACCAAGCTTTTTACTGATGAGCTGCGATGGAAGTTCAGCGGCCAAGAAGCAGACATAGAAGATGGTCTGGCCATAGTTGTAATCGTTGGTGTTTAAGCCGAGGTCCTTGAGCATGTTGTCGCTAAGAGCTTGAGATATGTTTCCACGATCGAGCTGAAGAGCAAAGAACATCAGGCATACCCAAGTGCAGATACGCTTGTCAATCTGCCCGGGGTTAGCAACAGGCTTCGGGTCTGTGCAACGCAATTCCTACCTTCCGTACAACTCGTTTTTCCTCCGCCTGGTCCCATTCGAAATCCGGATCATACCGATGAATGCCCTCGTACGTCTCCACGGGCCGATAGTGGTCTTTTGAAAGGCCTGTTGTTAAAAAGGTTTGGCCCCCCTTCGCTTTGGTTCCAGACTGGTGGGTGTCAGCCTCGCTGTTACTGGCGCTTCCTGTTACATCGAAGTCGCCTTTGCCGCCAGTGGCAACGTTTTCCAAGGATTTGTCACTGCCCATTCTCAATCATGGGTTCGTATGTCGAGGGATCCTAGGAAAAGTCTTGTCTGGTGTGAAGAGACATTGAGGGCGACATTACATTATATGTAAAAAACATGTATTTGCTACACACGGCATACTATGGCGACTTCAAGTCAGTCACTATCCGATCCGAAATCTTCTCGGAGCATCCTTTTACGGGCCTACTAGCGCTTGGGCCAGCGATATCAACATTTTGGGCGCCCAGGAACGAATCGCCCCTATCGGTGCATGCCTCAGACATGCCTTGCGATGCCACGAATGTTACTAGAACGTCTACGGAGAACATTACCCGAATCCTTCAAGCACGCAAAACGTAGGCTGTATGTCGCGTACATGCAAATTCATCACGGGCCAAAGATTATGTGGGAATGCGATTTGCTGCTAGTTGGGGATTGCGTGATTGGTTGGGTAGTTGGCGACATGTGAGGCAACGACCCCTCACGGCCTCACGGCTCGAAGTGTATTCTGGCGCCACCATAGCGGTACACACAAGCAGTGAAGGCTGATCTTATCTCTTATTAAGCAGGCTTGTGTTCCAGCTTCTTGCCTGCTATGCCTAGCTGGGCTCTGATAAGACCGATGAAGCAATCGACTGCACTCTTGATGCAATATTGCTGACCTCTGATTGCGGGGAATACGCGTTAACCGAAAACATGGTTGGATATCTGTGGACATTTTTCTATACGCTTGATCTATCGGTATCTGTAATATGGTGTCGCCATACCTGCACGAGGGACCCCACATGCTCTTTGCGGGGAGTTTGACTCCCTGAAGCATATAAGAGCAAAGCCAATACGGCAAATAACCTTGTATTTCCCACCTTTTGGACAAATTACCTTTTACAAATTTCTCTTCTTCCCAACACCGAAATGGCTCCAGCGTTAGTAGAAGAGGCAGAGGCCACCGACTACAAGTCCGGGGTCGGACCATACAAGGAGTTTGGCATCGGAGGTCCCAAAGCCTTTAGCAAGGAACTCGAGCTGAAAGGCACCGAGAAGCACGCACCTACCAAGTACCCCAACTACCTACCGGTGTGGGACAATGAGAAGGACCAAAAGTATGTGTGCCCTTACCAATCCTCTCTTGGTCAATTCAAACTCTAAACTCACATATTCCTCTCAGACTCCCCCCATTGGAGCCCTTCACGCATGTCGAGCACGGCAAAGACGCAGACCCCACCTTCTCCAGTCTCCTCAAAGATGCCACTGTCTCGGACCTAACCGCCAACATTGGCGCCGAAGTACGCGGCATTCAACTTAGTACGCTTACATCGACGCAAAAAGACGAACTGGCCTTCTTCGTCGCCCAGAAAAAAGTAGTCGCCTTCCGCGACCAGGACTTCGCCGACCTCCCCATCAAAGACGCCCTCGAATTCGGCAGCTACTTTGGCCGCCACCACGTACACCCCACATCGGGGGCTCCCGAGGGCTATCCAGAAGTCCACCTGGTGCATCGCGGCACCGACGATACTTCTATCCGCGAATTCTTCGAAGAACGCACAAATTCCATCGCCTGGCACTCGGACGTCACGTATGAGAAGCAGCCCCCAGGCACCACGTTTCTGTATATACTCGACGGGCCCGACGCCGGCGGCGACACACTGTTTGCAAACCAGGCTGCGGCGTACGCGCGCTTGTCACCCGAGTTCCGGAAGCGGCTGCATGGGCTGCGTGTCGTGCATTCAGGTACGTAGATACACACACACACACACATACACACTTATCCAGAAGTAGTCCAAGAAACAAAAAAGGGTAAAAAATAAGTGCTAACTCGCTCCAACACAGGCATCGAGCAAGCCGACAACAGCAGAAACCGAGGCGGCATAGTGCGCCGCGACCCCGTGACCTCTATCCACCCGCTCGTGCGCACGCATCCCGCGACGGGCGAAAAAGCGCTTTTCGTGAACCCGCAGTTCAGCCGGCGCATTGTGGGCTTCAAGAAGGAGGAGAGCGATTACCTGCTGAATTTCCTGTACGACCATATTGCAAAGGGCCAGGATTTTCAAGTCAGGGTGAAATGGGCCCCGCGCACCGTGGTGGTGTGGGATAATCGCGTCACGGCGCACTCGGCGTTGTTGGATTGGGATGATGGCGCGCGTAGGCATGTGGCGAGGATCACACCGCAGGCTGAGGCGCCGTATGAGACCGAGTTTGAGCAGGCGCCTGCTAACTTTGAGTATTAGTGCTTGTGGTGATGTCTACGTATAAGTAGGAGGCCAGCAGGTATGGCCGGCTTCAATAAGACTATATATCAATGCAATCATACCGAAGACAAGTGTTCGAAAGTTGCATGTGAAGTTGAGAGAGACGTTGAGAGAGAAAACTTTTTAGAAACACATCTATTTACTACCAAACTATGGCATGGAAGAAGAAGAGATTACATAAACTCCCTTTCCAGCCCGGCAACAGCCAGTCTCGCATCAAGAAAGAACCGGGCCTGCACTCCCAGTCTTTCCCCTGCTCGACCCGTTTGCCAGGCACTAAACATTCATTCCTCGTGATTGTTAACCACTCCAATTTTCTACTCATACAGAAGCGGAATTAAATTGATGGCTCTCTTCTTACCAATGCTTATACGCCTTCCTTCGCCCCTCCGTAGGTATATCCCATATACACCTTGCTACGCCTGCAATGCAAACCGTGGTAACAATGTATTCGAAAAGCGCTATCGTGAATGAAGTGCCGTTTGAGCGAAGGTGACTAGCGGATGTGTATCCGAGTCGTCTAGGCGAAGCCAAAGTACTCGCCACCGGCAGTCATGGCAGTGTACAGGGCCTTCCGAAGATCTTCATAAGTCTCATACTCGGGCAGATCAAGCTCTGTCAGGTAAGTTAGTATTGATTTAGTAAGAAGAACTGAGTTAGCTTACGGTTGAAGCACGTATGACTAGATGGCAGACGATCCTTGCTGCCATAGTCGCGATGAATGTTGAATTTGGAAAAGCCGTTCATGCCCTCAAGTTCCTTGAAACCATTCAGAGGCACTTTACTCGTACCAGTGACAAACTGAAGGAGCTTGGCTTGCTCTTCCTTCTCGAACGTCCGGACAGCACGCCAGAACCACTGAATCTGGGGCGATGCAGCCGTGTAGTTGTGGTACTCTGTGTTGTTCTTCCAGTCGTCTACGTTGATGTCAGGGAGACCGGAGATGAGAAGTTCGAGTTCTTGTTCGCTGAAGATTGAAACAAGCTCTGCAGGAACAATGTCATGGAAGCCCTTGAGAAAGTTTTCGAGTTGCTCTTGGACGGCACCAAGGAGGCGATGTTCAGTGATGAGGCGAACATATTCGTGCTTGTTATCTTCCGTCACTGGAATGTTGCGTCCGTTCTCGATAAGGTCAACTGTCTGCATCTCACCAAAAGCCTCTACTTCCACTGAGAAGGTCTCTGTGATGATGTCCGTAATCTCGTTGTGGATCATCCATTCGAGCGACTTGTAGTATTCAAGGTCAAGCGTTTCCATGTCCTTGAGGCTGACCTGTTTACCCATGATTTGCTTGTAGACAGCTCGACTGAAATGGCAGTCCAGGACGCGGCCTTCATAAAGTGCTTTGCCAATGATACGACCGATGAATTTGAAGAACATCAGATGTTCGGGGTTGATGGAACTCAATCGGTTGGGGTGGAAGGTGGTGCGATCGGATGCGACAGGTACGAAGAGGGCGTAGTCAGGGTTGAACATTTGGCGTGAGATTGACTGGAACCACTCGCGAGTAACACCACCAGCGTCGACTCCCTCTTCGCCATGGAAGCGGATACTGAGCTTGCCGTACTTCATCTCATCAGCTGACTTGAAGTATAGTGACTTGAAAGAGTCCAAGAAGACTTGGTCTCGGCGAACAGAGAGCTGCAACGGCGGGTGTGCCTGTCGATCGCCTCCACGAGAATGAAGCTTCCGGTTGAAGTAGTTGCGCTTGTTGTCAAACTCCAGGACCTTGGAATTCTTGACCAGAAGCGAGAAAGTGCCGCTCATAAGCTTGGGGTTTTGGCGGACGAGATCGTTCAATATCTTGCGGTGCTCTTCGGTGAAGTTGAAGAATAGATTCTCCATCTTGTTCTCAGGTGGCGGGCTAGACAGGGCGAATTCCTTGGCGAGCTTCTTGGATAGTGGTGTCTCCTTGAGCGTGGTGTTCTTACATACAACCATGAGGGACTCGATGAGGGGGAGCAGGGTTGTGGCGATGTTAAGCATGTTTCCACGCTGGCGGATGACCGTGAGGCACTCGCTGAGCTTCTCCCAGAGAGGTGCGAATGCAGCATCCTCGTATAGCGTCAAGAGTATGTCTTCTTTCTGGGCTGGTTCCAATGCCTCTGCAGCAGCTTCGGGCCTGTCTTTGTTATCGCGCGAAGGATCGAAGAGGTAGTCGAGCGCAGTAAGGGCTCTAAGCAGCTTCGTCTGGTCGGAGCTTGCAGGGGAGAACTTTGCGAGAGCGATGCCTTGGACGTCAGTAGGCGAGCTTGCCTTGGAAACTTGGACGGTCAGGCTCGCAAGATCATGGAGTGTTGAGCTAGCCAGGTCCTTTGCAATGCCGAGTAGCTCTTGGCCGAAGATCTCCTTTGCCCCTGGGATTGGCGAGAGGTTGCTGATGACCGACAAGGTCTCTTGGAACACCTTACTGTTGCACTCTCTTGCTGCGAGAATCTTGGCCACGAGTCGAAGGTTGGCTTCTGGCACGTCGGGAGGCGTCAATGAGCGGTGCTTCTTAGCTTTGTCATCCTCGGCTTTTGAATCATCAGGTTTGGGTGCGCCAGACTCAGACGCGGCTGCCATCTCTGTATCTTGACCTTGCCCAGCCCCAATAGTTGTGTTCTCGGTGGGTTGATACTCAGTATTTTGAGCTTCCGTAGAGCTCTCAGCGGCCTTCTTAGCTTCTTCAGCGGCCTTCTCTTTCTCCTTCTTGAGGGCCTGCAATGGAGCCGTGATGACCTTGAGTAGCGCAGTCAATTGCTCCATGATGGAAGAACTCTCAACAATGAGCTTGCGGTCCAAAAGAGTCAGCAGCGCATTGATGGGGTACTTGTTGGCCTTGCTCTCCTTGGCCTTGCCCTTGCGGTTGGCACGGTTCTTAAAGCCCACGCCAGTCTCGTGTTCAGTCAGGAAGAAAGACCATACAGCCGGGTTCTTTTCGGTCAGCTGAGTGAGGGTGTTGAGACACTGCTGAACAACCATCAATGGGGACACATCCGAATTGATGGACAGAGCGCCGTTTTTGCGAGAGATCTTTGGTGTCTTCTCCGTCGGTTGCTGGGGCTGCTTTGCTCTTATTGACAGCTGGGCAAAACTACGTTCAACGGCGTTGACGTCAGCGCTGCCATCCTGGAGAATCGACAACAGAATGCTGATGACTTCTGCACGGTTCTGGCGGTTCTCACAAACATAGCGTAGGATCGAGCTAAGACTGGCCTTGGCGCTACCTTGTTGAGGGATGAACATGAGCCGGAGGAGAGTTGCGACACCTGCTTTGTCGAGCATTTGCACACAAGGACGAGCTTTCTTTTTCTGGCTTAGATCTTCAGGCTGGCCGCGACGGTCGCCGCGCCTGTAGCCGAATTCGTTGAATTGATGTAGGCGGCGGTCCCCTCCCATTGCTCGGGCTTCAGCAGAAAGCTCTGGTGGAAGCTGTCGTAAGGTGTCTTCATCGGTATCCATAAGAACAGCAGCACGTAGGTTGGGATCCAAGGATGCGAAGAAACTGGCGGTATCCATCTCTTCAGCCTGCGGGGCAGCAGCATTGTTTTGGTTGCGACGACGATTTTCTTCGCGCTCACGACGTCGACGCTCCTGGGCCTCCTGGGCAAGCAGCTCTTCACGAATCTCCTCTGGTAGAGCCGCTAAGAACTCCTCGTTGATATCTGTAGGGAGATCTCCAGAATGACCGGCGTCTTGTGATGTTGAGCCTTGTGCCTGGTTTTGTGAATGTTGCTGCTGTTGCTGCTGACGGGCCTGGGCTCGTTGTTCGGCTCTGCGCTCAGCGACCTGCTGCATCAAGACTTCTTCTCGCAGTTCCTCGGGAAGAGCATCGAGATACTCCGTGTCGATTCCCAGGTCAGTAATATCGTACTCATGGCCTCTAATGGTCGTCATGACCCGTGGCGCAGGTGGTGCTGCCGGTGCTGCCGGTGCTGAGGCCGTAGTCGAAGACTCGCCAGAACTCTGAGCACCCTGAACGCCCTCCATGGCCTGTGCTTCAGAGGCAGTCAATTCGTTCTTTGACGTGCCTTCTGATGTCTGTTCTTGAGCACGAGTTGCGGCTTCAGCAGCCTCGCGTTCTTGCCGTTCGCGCTCCTCCTTCTCTTGTGCCTCGCGCCTTTCGCGCTCTTCGCGCTCCCTCTGCTCCTTCTTTTCTTGCTCTTCCTTGAGCTTGCGAGCAACTTCAGCCTCGCGTTCCTCCTGGCGCTTCTTCGCAGCTTCAATTGCAGGCGGAACCATGACTTTGAGGATAGAGTTGATGACACGCTGACTCTTCTCAATAGCAGCCGGGCCATAGAGGATGCGAGCCTCCTCTTGCCATCGCTGACTAGTATATGCCTTGGCAAATGCAACTGCCGAATGCGGGTCTTCTCGAGCAGAGCGTGAGTTGTAAGATTCTCGCATACGAGCAATATCGCGACGCATTCCACTGTCAAACGTTGGCATGCCCATTGAGTTGCTGAAAGAAAGATGCAACGCGCCTCCGTGATGGTGCAGCGTAGGGGCACCGCCACCAGAGCTCATTGCATTTAGCAGGTTGCTGATGAAGGAGACGGGGCTGTCGGCTTGACTAAAGACACGAGGACCACGGCTTTCAATCGCATGCACCCAGTCGCTGTTGCCTTCGTTACGTGGGAGGCCATCTCGTCCAATGGAACGACCGCCTCGTTGGAGTAGGGGGTTGACGCCATCGTCCGTGGCTCGAGGACCGGCACCTGGACGATGTGACCGATACGCTGGCACAAGAATACGATCACCTGGACCGGCGGGGAACATCCATGGACTAAGGCGGTGTGTATGACGAACAGTAGGAGGTGCGGGATCCTCCCAACCACCACCCCATCCAAGTTCTGGTAGGCCCTCTTCATCATCCTCCGCACCGGGATCGTAGTGAATATCTTCATCGTACTCTTCTTCTTCATCGTCTATTTCTTGTTGGGTTAGCAAGTATTCCAAGCGTTCTATCCTGTGCAGAAACGGACCTTCTTCCGCCATCTCGTCATCCAGGAAGTCCTCGATGTCGCCTCCGCCTTGCTGTCGCATTTGCTCAAGAAGCTGAGGAGGATCGAGAACAAACCCAAGTGCGCCTGGGGGCATGCCTGCCTCACCGTTGACGCCACCTGGGAAGTCGTCCTGTTCGTCACTCCACTCATCTTCCTGGTCTTCAGCTAGGCTGGCATTTTCATCGTCACCAGTCACTTCCTCCAAGGCCTCCATGGCATCTTCCATGTCGTCCATGTCGTCGTCACCCTCGTCGTCCATGTCGTCCATATCGTCCATGTCATCTTCATCATCCTCGTCTTCATCGTCTTCCTCATCTTCGGAATCATCATCAGATCCCATGGCGTTGCCGTCGTCGTCAAGTTCGATTTCAACATCAACATCGCCGGGGAGGCCTTCGATTGGTCCCATACCATCAATGTCCATTTCCAAAATCTCTTCATCTTCGTCGGAAACAACGTCGTCGTCACCAATATCGGCCTCATCATACTCCATGTCGTCAGCATAAGGATCGTCGTACATCATCTCTTCGCCCTCGTCGCCCTCAGAGTCTTCATCTGACTCGGACTCGTGAGGCGGCTCAAACATGCCGAGGGTTGAGTTGCGGAACAGATCGGGCGTCTCCTCGCGTGTGTTCTCAATAAGATCGTCGTCGGAAGCGGTTGAGATCTCGTACTCGTCGCCAGAATCAGGGGCTGACGAAGTATCGTAGTGCATACTCAGATCCATTGCCACGTAACAGAGCCACTTCAAAGGCTTGAGGATATACTTGACCACGCGTTTGGCATTGGGGAAGTTGAGATCAATGTCTGAAATGGCCGTAGTCAAAATCGTAATGAAGTTTTTCTCGTACATGATCTTGGCCATTTGCTTAAGGTTCGGCGTCAGGTCTGCATTCTGGGTAAGCATTTCGCCATTTGGACGTTGCGACACCATTCTAGAAAAGATGTCGGCGATGCTTAGCAGCCGTGAGTATTTCATGTCCAATGGCTCATCGGCGGCATTTGCGTCTTTGAAAGCCTTCAGAGCGTGCTCGAGTACAAACTTGCGGACGAAGAGCAGGTCTGGCTCGGTCTCAGCATAAGGCGATAAAGGCACATCAGTCTTAGGGACAGTGTGCTCTCCAGTCTTGTTGCACAGTGAGACAATGACATCGATCGCACAGTTTGATGTCGCCAGCTTCTTCTTGAACGAGAGATCCCCTTCATGGTTGAGGGTACCAATAGGGACCAAGTTATTGAGAAGGTAGTTGAGCACACCGGAGCGCGGCTTGGAAGGTGTCACAGTATACGGATCGGCCTTTCTCGAGAAGTTGATGAATTCAATCTTAGTGCGGTTGTAGCTTTGAAGAAGCTCAGCCAAACACTTCAGAATGAAGCAGCGGTAGATGTAGATTGGATGCGCATCAGCCTTGAAGACAGGCTTCTCGGGTTTGGCGGGTTCTGCAGTGGCTGTGGCTGTTGCTGTGGCAGGTGTTGCGGCCGCGTCTGAGCTCGATTCGCCAGTTCCTTTCTCTGCAGGTGCGGTCTCTACAGGCTTGATAGGCTCGGGTTTGTCCTCAGCCTCTTTGTAGGCTAGCAGCTCACAGAGAAGGTAATGGATAACGCCATCGGGGTTCTCAACTACTGGGATCTTCAGATCGGACGTCTTTGTTCGCTCCAGCAGAGGCTGCTTTGGCGCTTCACTGGACTCCTTGGGTTTGTCTGCTTCAGCAACGCTATCAGAAACTTCGGCAGAATTCACTGGCTCGACCTTCTTTAGGACCATGGTCTGTGGTCGCTGGTTTGGATCAAAGCGGGCCAGCTGGAGCTTCTCGTTCGTGATCTCCACAAAGATTTCCGGTGCGCGGATTGCTAGCGCATACATCTGGCGTGTGTATCCAGTTGTGTCCGTCTGTCTTCGGTCACGCGACTCGAACATCTGCTGAATCTCGGTTCGCATAATTTGGCGGATCATGTCGTCGTCCTCGATCATGTGGCGCAATACGATCATAAAAGCACTACGCAAGCCCTCGTTGGTAATACCAGCAAGTTGCTTGACCATGAGGAACAGCCGCTGAACATTTCGCTTTTCCGCAAGGCGTGTAGCAATTTTGCGTGTGCGTGTGAGCATAGCCAGTACTCGTGTGACCGATAGAGCCAGTGATTCATCTTTACCAATGCGAGGCAGCATTTCGATGATGGCACTGAAAAGCTGTTCTTTTTCTTCCGCAGTGACAATTGGCTCTGGAAGATCATCGACTGAAGTTTCTTCTTGTGTCTCTTCTGTAGGCGGAGTCCATGAAATCTGTCGTGGAAGTTGATCCTCAGCCAGTAGGCGCTCAATGATCAGCAAAACTTGGCCGATCCAAGGAGATGAGTCTTCAGCTGGTTGATCAGGGAAGATCTTCAGGAAGCCCAACAGTGTTGTGAAATTATCCTTGAGTTCTCCGACAATGACTTCGTAAAAGTCCTTCTCCTGCAGAACCAATGCCAAAAGGTGAGCTGAAGCTGCTATCTTTTGGCTCTGTGTGCGGAAATCGTCTTCGCTCTGTAGCGATATGAGAGACTGGACCAGCGTAGTACCAATTTCTGTCCGCATTGATTCTGGTTCCGGTACTTTGGAGACAGCAGCAAAGATCAGATCAGCTAGCTCAAATGTGACATCCTCATGTGAGTTGAGAACATCGAGCGAGCGGTCGACAAGGTTTTGACGGAGCTTGAATCGCTGCTCGTCAAGCTGGTCCAAGGCCACAGGTTCTGTAGAGTTACCAACAGCCATACGCTTCTGATATGCTAGCGCGTCTTGCGGTGCAGTGGTTGGTTGGTTGGACTGCTCAGCTGGCACAGGCGTAGTAGAGGTATGTGGTTCGGTCTCGGCAGCGGCCGAAGCATCCGCGTCCTCCATCTGAACCGACTGACTCTCGGGCTCTTCAGTCTCATCGTCGTCACGAGTGACCTCGCTCGATGTCATGCTGGCATCATCTGTATGTTCGGGCACTACCACCTCAGCTCGACTTGGTGATGCAGATGGTGGGCCTCGCGCTTGAATCTCATACTGGGGTATCGGGTTTCTTGAAACATTCGGACGAGTTTGGTTCATACAGTACTCCATGGCCATGTTGTAGTTGTCGCAGCAGCGATACAGCGCTTCTTCGGCAAGACTTGAGTCGTACCCACCCTCTCTCATGCGCGGCAAATGGTCGGCGTTTCGGGGTGACCATGGCTTGATTATGGGCTTACTGCGTTTTGGAATCTTGTCGATGCTCTTGTACGCTCCGTGTTCGCCATCACACTCAAGAACAGACTTGAGGATGTTGACCGATGTCTTGACAATGGACGTCGTGGCCTTGTCGATGAGATTCGAGTTCCAGATCTTCTCTATAGGTTTGATCACAGCAAAACGCAGCTCAACAAGGAACTGTGCTGTCAAGAAGTAGTCTGATCGGTCCCTATCGCGGTCCGGCCTTGTTTGCATCGAGGATGTCTGTGGCGATTCGCCAATGACTTTGTAGTTGATGATCTGAGAGAAGAAGGCAAGAATGATCTTGATACCACCAAGCGAAAGGTTGAGCAAGCGCTTCGACTCCTCGCTGGTGTCTTGGGTCTGCTTCTGCGTAATCTCAAGCGCTGATTCGTAAAACTGATTGAGGATATTCGCCATAACGTCAAATCCACCCAGGTTGCGGAAGGACACAAGCAGCAAAGTCAGTGCTTGCGGTCGATCCAGGTTCGGCTCAATCATGAGTTGCGAGAGAGATGTGAGTATGACGATCCAGTACGCATAGCGGTCTTCAACGTTCTCCGATTCCTTAGGGCCCTCGTACTCAAGTTGATCGATGACTGCTTGAGCGAGTTGGTCTGCAACGACTGTAGCACACTGCCTCTGGTATGCCTCCAGGCTACGACGAAACAGGAGCAGTTTGCCCAGGGATTGGAAGAATGGTGCAATATCAGTGGGTATCTTGCTTAGCAGATTTCGAAGCGTTTGTGTGTTCTTGAATTGTGCACTGTTCTGGCTCAGGGATGCATTCTCAGCACTTGTTCCAGAAGCAGCAGCAGCTTCTCCGCTGGCTGGTGATTCAATCGCACTGTTGCCAATGCGGAAGACATTGTCAGCTTCGTCGTTGCCAAATCCAGAGCTGGCGACGCGCGTCTCTTTCTCCCATTCTGTAGGCATATTGCGTTGAAGAAGAAGCTCTTCCCAAACGCAGCTGCGGTGAAGCTTTCCAAGGCTGTCAACGAGGCGTGCGTACATATCGGCGAGGTTGACTTGACTCGACACGTTATGGGCCGAGCGCGTACCGTACATTTGGCTTTGAAAGGTAAGCGTCATGGCTCCAAGAAGCGTGTGTGCTGTCACCAATGCTTTGACGTATTGTGTGCCTCGCTGCAGATGCTCGCTGTCCTGCGAAGTGCTCTTGCTTGTGAATGGGGCCAAGAAAGCCTGCTTGCCCGTATGGTCGAGAAGAGGTTGCAGACGTTCTAAAGCCTGTTGTGTGCGTTTGATCAGGGACGGAACGGCAATGTGCGGCTTTTGCTCTACGAGCACTTGAACAACATGGCCAAACTGCTCGCACATGCTGCGGTTTTCACTGGACTTTGGATCCAAGCAAGCAAGGCTAGAGATATCAAGAATAGAGTCCACGCCATGAATTTCGATGAAGATTGTGCACATGGTATGGTTGGAGAAGAATCCGGAGAGAAACCGGCAAAGCACGCGGATGTACTGCCCTGTTGTGGGCCCATTGCTGCTGTCTTCGGTTTCTGTGACTTGATCAAATGCAACGACTTCGTTAGGTGTCTCATCGGCATCCTTCATCTCAACGTCAGTACCAGCCGTCTCAGAGGTGCGCTGCTGGCGTGGGCCAGACAGCGCCTGGCGACCACCAGCTACAAATAGCTTTCCAGAAGCATCCTCTGTCCATAATTTGGCACCCACACCTTCTTTCTCAGCTTTGCTGGCGCACAGCTGAACCACACGCGTAATCAGCTCGTTCAGACGCGAGATGACCCGAGTCCTTAGCGGTGGGTGGTGACGCACGAGCTCATCGAAAGAATTACCGATCAAGGTTGGCATCTCGGTGTCGGCATCGAGTGCTTTGACATGGGCAGGACTCTCAAAGATTTCGAAAAACCGCGCAAGTGCATTCGACGATAGGAAGAGCTTCATGCCAGCTTCCGCTAGACAGATGGCATCAAAGGCTGGTGGAAGCGTTGAGATGGCCTCCGCGACAGGCAAGATGCCCTCTGCAAGGGGTTTTCCAGGTACTCGAGGGGGCGATATTGGTGCGGAAGGGTCTTCGTTAGTACTTGCTACAGCAGTTGATTCTGACGCGGGCTCTCCAGCTACTGTCTCTAGGAACGCCTCGCTCAGACCTGCTTCAGCTATGACCTGGTAACTGGTGGGCTCGTTGTGGATGAAGCTAGCGAGGATTGTGACAGCCATGCTCCAAACCGTGGAGCCGAAGATCCTTGCATTCGACAGCACAGTGCGCAGGCTACTCAGCAGCTGCGGCGAGTCAATCAAATTGCGCATCAAGCGATCAAAGTTACCGCCTGTGTGCGTCATCATGTGGTTAAGGAACTTGAACAGCCAGCGCAGACTCTGTTGGTGATAGAAGGGGATTTGATAATCAGTAAGCTGTGTCTTGTACTCCTTGGGCATGCCCTTGTTCTCCTCGGCAAGCTTCTTGGAGATGTCGACTTCGTATTGCATGAGGTCAGCAATGATTTCGAGTCCCTTTGCAGCCACGAGAGCCGAAAAGGCATCGCGCAAGTTGTACACAAAAGTGTCAAGGAAGTTGAGAATCTTGGGGTGATTACGCTCGGCCTTTGCTGTACGAAGCTTGAGAACATCGACGAGAATTTCCAACAGTCCTGCGGCTACCATTTGCTCACCAGTGCGTGTTTGCGATGTTGGCAGCGTATTTAGAAGAGAGAAGAGAGCATCTCGCCACTCATCCTCCTCGAGGTTGTCTGGATCGCCAGTCTCCTCGCCCAATCCAGCGACGAGCTTGCGAACGACGTAAAACAGCACACCGTGGTTAACGTTGACGCTGAGAGCGGCGCAGATGTCGGGAGCCTTGGACTTGTGCTTTGCGAGGGCTTCCAGAGCATTCATTGTGAATGTTTGAAGCTCCAACGAGAGACCAGTCTGGCCGTTGCTGGGTGGGTGTACTAGCTCGGACAGTTGATGGGCGAGCTGGAGCCTGCGTGGCTCGTCTGCATCCTGCTGCCCGAGTCTTGCCATGAACTCCTTCTCGATGTGCACGTAGCCCATGTTGGCGATTGATAGCAGCCGGATAGCGACTGCATCATCACGCCCTGCAGCGCCACTGTTGAACATCTTGGCAGTCCGCAGCTTGTGAAGGAACTCGTAATGCACACTCTCGGGTAAACTCTCGAGCCCCTCCTTGATCAAATCGTGTATGTTGCCCTTAGCAACCTTGTCGGCTGAAAGTTCATATGTCTTGGGCCCGTTGGTTCTACTGCTGGGCTGTCCGGGAGTGAAGACGGGTGTGCTTGGCGAGTCGGCGGGGGCTGCGGGCGGGGGCTGTCGTGGCGTCCGGTTGGGGCCCATACTGGACGTTCTTCGTACCGGGGTGGGTGTGGTGGGTGCAGGCGCGGGTGCGGGCGCAGAAGCGGACGCCTCAGTAGCCGCAGGCTTACTGCTGTCTTCCTCGGTCGTCGAAGTCGGCTCGTAATATGAAATGAGTACACCTCCAAACTCATGCTTCATCGATGCTTCCGACAAAGAGTACAGGCCAACCAGGTCGGATGGACTGACCTTGTCAGTGCTGCTTGCGCGGTCTTTTCCTCTGGGTGTTGGTGTGCCAAACACTGGTGCTGCGGCGGCGGGACCCTTGGCGAAGGGGCTCGACAGCTTCTGCACCTTGTCCAGGTTGATGTTGTAGTGGCTGGAGAGGAGAGACGGATGCAGCGTGGCAGGCGCCAGTCGCATGCGAGCGGCGGCATAGCGCTGGGCAAGGCGGTGGCCGAGGCGCAGTGTAGCCTTGAGGAGAGACGTGCAAGTTGTGTTGAGCAGCTTGTCCAGGCGCTCGCTGCTCGAGTACAGGCTGCGGTTGCCGCAGTTTTCCAGCAGCATGCGTGTGAAGTTGAGGATCAGCTCAATCAGCTCACGGTCGCCGTCTTGCGATACGTGCAGGGTATCGAGGACGGCTTCGGTGGTGCTGTGCTCTGAGCCGGCGTTGCCTTCGTCGGCATCGCCTTTGAGCAGAAGCCGACGCTGGAATGGTTGTGTCTGCGGTCCGTCGACCAGGCCATATTCCCTGTTGAACAGGTCCAGGATGTGGTCGAAGCGGTTCAGTGCGGGGATCCAGTGGTAGGCATCGCCGCGGGGGAAGGGCCAATGCTTGGGGAACGAGGCAAGATGTGCGGGCAGCTGGTAAAGCGGTATTGACTCGGTCGCCTCGACAAAGTCTGCGATCATGGACGACTGTTGGGGGCGTGTGAGCAACGGGAATGGCGGACGGGCGAGGGGCACTACTTACCAGAGTCGCCTCATGTCGCGAAGTGGCTTGTTTCTTGATCTTCATGTTTGCGCCGGGCGCTCGGAAGACGAAGCCTCCTCACATGCAAGCGTGCTGGGGCGCGGGTCTGGCAAGCGGCTGGTGGGTGCAGACGGCCGCGCAGTCAGTCGGACGAGAGATGCGTGGCGGTCGAAAGGCGGTCTCTGCGGCCAGCTGCGAGTGCCTGTTGCGGAAGCGCAGAAACTCAGCGCAGCAGCCGAGTTAGTGGAGCGAAAAGCGGGGGGCGTGATTCGCAACAGCTAGGTCGCCGGGTCGCCGTGTACGCGGGAGAGCGGATGCAGTGAAAAGTGTGTGTTGGCGGGCAGGCGGCTTGGTGGAGAAGAGGCGTCGGCGGATAAGCTGCTGCTGCTACTGCTGCGGCGAGATACCACGGTGCAGGCGTGAATCTGGTGCAGCGGAAGCGCTTCTCTGAGTGCGCGGGGCGAGTGGGAGCGCGGGAGAAGCTGCTGGGAGCGCCTCGGTGCCTGGGGAGAGGGCGGGTGAGGGGGTGGGCTGGGGGGGAAAAGGTGAGGGTGCTTTGGTGGAAGGGAAGCTTTAGTGACGAGCACCACCACCAAAAGTAGCATTACTTAGCACTTTCCGCACCCATGGGCGGCGTGGCCCGTGCTTGGTGATCCGAGCTTGCAGCGTCACGAAAGCGACGCGCTGTCGTCGTCGTCAACCTCGTCCAAAGGCCCCGAGCCCGCCTCTCCCCGCCCACCAGCCTGCCCGGGGGCGCTGCCGCTGCTCTGCTGCTGCTCTGCTGCATGCGCGGGGCGCTGCCCTCTCGCCAGCAACTACTTACGCACCCAAGACGACATGCGCTGCACCCGGAAAAAGAACCCCACATTATGACCACGACCTGCCCATGACGACATAGCACGAATTCATCCATCGTTATTCAACACCAAGGCGAACGAGGCGCGGCCCGCATCCAAACGCAACAGCAGTACCTGGACAGCCATGGCCACCCGACGGCGACACCCTCTCCCACCCTTCCTGGTCCTCTTTCTTTTCTTTTTTGGGGTCCTGTCTTTGCTTCTTCGGTCTCATCAAGGTGCTCCTGCATACATACGTACATACACACAACTCATCGACTACATAGCCTAGCACCCACACATACACCTACATCTACACCGCCTACCACCGGCTCGTCCCGCTTGCAGACTCCTCTCTCCCGCCCGCCCTCTCCCCGTCGACCAGCCTCACCGTCTCCTCCAGCACGAGCAGGTCGCGCTCCAACATCTCTGCCCAGTTCTGTATGTCGCCCACCTCGTTCAGCTTCTTCGTGCCCCCCTGCAGCAGCTTGTCCCACTCGGCGGTTTGCTTGGCCAGCGCCGCCGTCTGCTTCGCAAGCTCCTTCTCCTGCTTGGATATGGCCGCCGAGTTGGCGTGCAGGTCCGCCGTGCGCGTGCGCATTTCGTTGTCGACCGAGGCGCCCACAGACGCCAGAGAGGCTGTGACAGCGGCGCGGGCTTCGGCCTGCCGACGAGCAGTTTCCTCTGGGGGTGGAGGTGGAGATGGCATTGTGAGTGTTTGCAGCGCAATAGCCGAGACGGTTTGTCGGGCGTTTGTGGTGTTCACGTTGATGAACAGATGGTCAGCCTCTAGGACATGCGTTTGTTAAAGCACGGCCACCTCCCACCAGCCCGCAACCTGCAAACTACCATGCACCCCACCTATGCCGCAAGCAGTATTGCTGCGCAACATTGAAGTAAGCTTCTTGGGTAATCTGCCGACAGCGTTAGGGGCCGCAACTAGTTCAGTGCGTAGTGGTGTAATGCCGCCCAACATGAGTGGCCGGATACAGACTTTACTAGGTAGTACACCTCTCACCAGGGGGGCTCCCTACTCTTGATCGTCGCGTAGACCCCGAACACGTGTACAGAGCTAGTGAACACGTGCAACAGCGTGACACTAGCATTCAAAGGCTTGGTGGTTACACAATGCGGGGTGGTGAATCATCTGTACTACTCAACTTTTCATATCAAGGCAGGGGACAATTCTTGATTTCATGTTGCCTGACCAGCACATACAACAATATGCGTTGCTCTGTAAAGAGGTGTTGAAAACTTGTATTGTATGTCCAAGCATCCTGGACTGTAGTGGCACAAGATAGGAGCGGGGCAAGGGGGCGTTTGGGAAACATACCAATCATGTGACTTGTTGATTACCACGAAACACGTGACCAACGGACATCACACTTGACATCTCACAGCATTCTACAAATAGGCTTTTCCAAAACAGACATATTCAATAATCGTATGGAGATCACAAATGAAGGACGTGTATCTATACGGCAAAAGAAAGGAAGAATAAAAAGCAACGGTTCGGCCCCTGCCAAGCACACTACCATGGGATGACTGTGACCCAGCCACAAACTGCACCTCCACCGGTTCAACCAACATCTTACACCGCAATCGTCTTAGCGACCTTCTTGACTGTCTCAGCCATAGCCGCCACGGCCTCTCTCTTCACATCCCTAGCCCGGGCCTTGTTCTGCATCGCCTTGATCTGCTGCACCAAGAACTCGACGCCCTCGTCGACCCTCATACCATATGTCAAGTGAGCAGGCAAAACAGACAAGGTACCCACGCAAACGGCATCACCAGGCTGGCAGATAATCTTGACCTTGTCCTTGGGGAAGTTGGGAATCTGGTCCTTGTCCTGCTGCTTCTGCGTGTCGCCGTAGAGCACGACGCCGGCGATTTTCTGCTGGACGGCGGCATCGAGAGCCTCGATGGCTCGGTGGTTTACGGCTGCACCTTGACTGTAGCCCCCGGACACGATGATTGAGTCTGGGCACTTCTCCGCCATGGAGGTCAGGGTGCTCTGGAGGAGGTCCTTGGACTTTGAGTCGGTGCCGCCGGGGATGAGATTGGTGGCGATCGAGGCCGCGTAGGGAATGCCCTCTGTGGCGACTTTGTCGCTTCCAAAGGCTTTTTTGAGACCGTCCGAGGTGGGTGGGCCGACAACAGTTCCCTGGTTGGCTTGCTTAGCAAAAGAGTGACTTGGTCACTCGAAAAGCGGCTACGTACCATGTTGCCGATCTCGGTAGAGCCGCGAGCAAAGGCAAAGAGAATGTCTCTGCATCCACCTTGACTGAACTCACTGGAGCTGCTGCCGGTACCACCAATACCACTGAATTGGCGGCTTTCGATGGGGCTGGTGGCAGCGAGGCCCGCAAGCGTTGCAACGAGTATGGACTTGGTATACATTGTTGTGAATGAAGTGAACTATAATGGTAAGATTTGAATCTTGATTTCGAAGGCTGGTGCAAAGTGCTGAAGACTTGAACGAGAGAATAGAAGCAAAGAGAAACCGGTGTGGTAACGATTGAACGGAGTTGTTCACTGAACAAGACGATGATGGTGATGCTCACTGAAGCTTCCATCCCATCTTTTATAACTCCCCGCCCACTGCCGATTACCTATCACACTTCGCTCTACACACCTCATTCAATCAACTGGTAACGACCATACCTGCATCCACCCAGGTCAGTGCCCCGTCCACCCTCGCCAAGCCCGTCCTCTTCCCAGGCGACAAGCGGGAAGCACACTGAAAAGGAACATGAAGCCGCCCCTGGGGTAGCAGCCTCGGAACCTCGACAGCAGTACACTAAACGATTGGCCGATTCCAACTTCTCTATTATCGCCAGGAGCATAAGCACAGCCCACGTAGCCCACTCTACCAAGACCCCCGCCAAGTCCACGATCGCCAGCAGACACGGCAAAAGTGGGCAAGGCTGCAAGAAAAGTCCCCGTGCTGATCGCGGATACAGTCACCGTCACCAGTGGTTAGCAACATGTACTCCTGCTCCCACTCCTGCGTCAAGCCACTCCCCGATCTAGGTATGTGGGGGTCGTTAGGGGCGGAAGCGCGGATCCAACTCCCTACTTACCCGAGAACCCACTCGCGAACGCTCAATCCAACCGGATATTACTTTTTTCTTTTCGTCCGTAACCCCCCTAGTACAAACTGTAACGGGCGTTGCTGCGAGTGCACAAGCATAGACCTGGTTGACTTTATGAGCAGCAGCTGGCGGGCCTCGGCACCCGAACGAGCGCTTCGTGTGTGGTTGGCTGGGGAAAGCGGTTGTTTTGCAACCGGAGACGCTGTCACTGTATGAGTTTGACCATGGCAAATGAGCGTGGATGTGTATGTGTGTCGGAATTGGGCTGAGTGACTTCATCGATGTTATGCTCAAAAAAAAACGTTGTTGGTGCGATCGAACACACGGTCTGATGTTGACCTCTTTTAACCAAAAAGAAAAAAAATGTATATTAATCATAACAACGGGATGAGCATCGCTTCCAACTACATACAGATACGCTAACCCCCAATCTGATCCGCGGGAAAAGAAAATGCCCCCTGCAAATCCTAAACAAGCTTTTTGTTCCTTGAACCTCGTATCTTTTTCTTTTCCGCGTGGCATGACGCATAAGATCGTCGTACGGTACCATAGAACCGATCGCTATGATGTGCGGGGATCGCGCCAAGGTTGTTGAAGGGGGACCACACTTTCATCCTGCCAGGCCGTCATCTCCGTTGGTGCTCGCGTGGCGGCGCCCTGCTTAGTTCCGTTTCAGACGCCGCATGGCCCTGACGCAAGAAGCAATCGGCTAGAACACACGACGAAACACCGGGCAGTAAAGTATGTACCAGCCGTACGGGTTCCTCGTGGGCGTGCAGAACGCGGGACGAGTAATTCATGGCGGTGGCAGCAAGCCTAACGCTGATCGCACGCAGCGAGATATTTATAGTCGTAAGTATGAGTTGCGGGACTACAGTACCTGTTCTTTCGTCCACCCAAGTTACTTCCCTATCCGCGGAATACAATGTCTACGCCCATGTCGACATCAATCGACACGGACACAGCCATCCAGTGACAAATGCCCAACTCAAAAAAAAACGCACAAACACAATGCCCAAAAGTGGTATTTGGAATTTCCCATTCCCCAAGTACAGGCACAGGTGTGATACGCCATGTGGAGACGCTAGTAACAGTCGACGAGTCTTTAGATATGCAGGCTCCTCCTACTCCCACTCGGGAAAAGCACAATCGTGACCCACATATACCTACTTGCTTGGCCGCGTCGCCCACTTTTCCAACTTGGCGACTAAATAGATATATGTGCAGACGCATCTGCCATACATGCTTGCTACGCCTAACCTAAAGCGAGCAACGGGCACACCCGATTCGGACATGGATATGTACGCCTCGAAACATGGGGGGCGAGTGCACGTCCGCATCTGCAAGATGCAGCATGGCCAATGTGCATAAACGCCACTGTTGTTTCAATCATGCATGGGTGGTATATACGCTAGTATATGGGAAATCTGTAAACAGGCTGTTTTGGGAATGCGGAGCTGTGGGACGTGGACTCAGGACTCAGGACTCAGGTCACTTTACTGGTATGGCGCAAGTGTGTGGGGTTTAGGTCGACGGGATGACTTGGCGAGCGAGGCTCGTTCCCGGGTTTCTGGTCTTTGGCGTCAGCAAAGAGTAGATGTGCGCTGAGTCTGGCTGTGTAAGTAGCTTAGGGTTGAGATGGATATGGAGGAAGGCCTTGCTGGGGGGTGGGGATGGAGGTGAAGGCGATGTCCAAATTTGAGTGCATCACGAGACTTTGAGATGCTGCTTCGGATACCATTCAAGCTTAGATTTGCTGTGCTTTCTGAGGAGCCTCACAGCCAGCTGGATTGGCGATACAGCTTTGAAAAGAATACCGCAGTGATAGTCCCGAGGAAGCCAGGGTGAGTGTCGTGCGTAGATGGCGTATTCGAGGCGGTGATATGAACTCTAAATTTCGTGTCCGTGTCCCATTAACTGTTACTTAGTAATAGAAGAGCCAGACTAGAAAGAGCCGGTATTTTGGAAAATTTAGACTTACCAAGTGTGACCAGACTCTGAAGAAACTTTCTTTACAGAATTAGGTACGCTTACTGCATCATACCCCCTAATAATAGGTTTCTATATGAAAAGTGAAGTTGTTGATGGGAAAGAAGGAATGCAATATAATGCTGTTTAATAAGCGCTATGCTATACAAGAAATAGTCCAATAACAACGACGCCTGCGCCTATAGTTGACAAAGTTACTTCTTCTCCTTGATCGTACCATGCCTTTGTCAGCTTATGAGATAATTAAGGGCCTGTTCGGTTCTCCGTCCTCCGTCTCCGTTGGTGACACCGTTTTGGGTGTAAGCGGTTTCTGTCAGCGCTGTAGATAGGCTTACTAAATTGAGATAAAACGGAGAAAGGAGAACGGAGAGCTGTTTGGTAAAACGCTATTCTATTCATCACATGATACGCTACGTAATAGATGACTTGATAATTTTACCGTGATTATGTTAGAAAACGGAGTTTTCGAATAGACTTCTCTTAGACAGAGCTCTATTCTGCTTAAAGTAGTAAAGATAAGGGATGAGTAAGCACGAAGTAGGGTTTATTTTCTCAGCGCTGCGCGAATAGAACGGAGCATCTGTCCGTGGCTTCAAACCCCTCCGTTCTACCCAACACGGCACCGTTACTATCTCCGTTCAAAAAACGGAGCCCTAATCCGGCCAATGGGACGGAACACGAGGTTTTTCTGAATGAACCTTGAACACTATCATCTTACAGCTTCTAGTTAAATAGCCAGGTGTTCGTATCCTCCAAGTGAACAACGGGAATTGGAAGACACACAGACACACAGACACACACTCTTGTCAAGAACTATGTTCCTGCGCCTGAAGTAAGCTTAGTAGTACACTCTTAGTGTGTAGAGTTCTTATCGATAAAACTCTTATGTCATTAGTGCCTAGATAATTACTGTTAAAGCTAATCGACTAGTAATTAAGCAGATTGTAGGACAATTGATTAGACCACTCATGCTTCTTATAGGCTTCCTACTATGGAAATATATAGAGTTATTGAGAATGATTTCTGTAGTCGCTGATTGCTGTGTCTCTAGCCTTTAAGCGCTCAGACGCCTGATCCGGGCTGATTCATACTGCTATAGCTACTTTATCTCTCCCTTTTCTCTCTGTTTTGAAGTCCTTGTTTCGGTTGAACTTGGGTAGAAACTGTAGGCAGTATCGTAGCTATCGAGCTACGATTTAATGATTTCTATTTCTCAAAACGCGATTCTACCCTTAGCCAAATATTAAAATTAGTCATCTGTTTCGCATAAGGATTGAAATTACAGGAGAAAATTAAGGCGAACTGGCTCTAGGAAGCTTTATAGCTATTGACTAGATGGATGCTAAAGTGCTAAAAATCTTCAGATCAAGTCAGAACTACTAAGATGTCTTATTATATAACAAATGCTAGAACGGCTTCAACAGCAATAACATCATGGAAACGGCCAGGATAGCCAAAGCAGCCAGCGTAGCCAGAACGGCGAGAATAGCAGCATAGGCAGCGAAAGCTGCACCCCTTTTCAGTACCGTCACGGGCAGCAGCAAATTTCATACTAGTAGCCGCATCCCCAAGCTTCAAAACCACCATTTACCCCTATCATTATCCTATCCTCACTGCACAACTTTATACCAACTTGATATGTTTTAGAACCCTGCGCCCCTCCAGCCCGCGTGAGACTCTACATCCCGTGTGCAGACCAGCAGCGAGTCTAGAAGGTAGCACTGATGGCAGGCAGTAAGACAAGACTCAGCATAGCATGCTCATGCCACCTACACCGTTCTGTTTCCTTTCCCGTTTCCAGCCCCGCGACAGGGAGAAAATAAACTTCCCCCTGAAACTTTGTCATACGTACATATGTAGTAAGCACGTAACCCAAACATAGCGCCGTCATCTCGTATCCCCACATGTACGCGGCCGGTAACCAGGCTAAGTTGTCCTTTTTACACCAATAGCTGTGATGCTATTACTATGTCCGTAAGCGGATAATATGGTCCATGCTTGGATATGATTTTTTTTTGATAGCTTCTACGGAGGTGCCTCACAAAAGTTTTGTCCCACGCTAATCTCGGCGCTTCGGCATAACTCTTCTTGGCGCAACTCCCACCTTTGAGCTAAGTAGCTGTACGATTTGTCTGTATCTATCGTTACAATGTCTCCTAATACTGATCCTTACACCCGCACCTTAATTGTGGCGTTAAAGTCACCTTCTGTTGGCAAGTCTACATCACAGATCTCTGAACTTACTGGTGTTCATCCTCGTACGGTCAATCGTATCTATAGTAGAGCTATTG